TACGATGGAGATGATAATTGTAAATATCCAGCTTATGAGAAGACGACTTCATATAACAAGAGACTATCCTTTATGTTATTAAATTCTCTACTAAGGCACCCATATCCTCGCAGTGGTATAGTATAAAATGGACAAGCTTGGTCCTATATTGATGATCTCGTTAACCAGACCTATGAAAGAGTCTAGTGTGATGGCCACTAGAAACAAACATAAGGCACCGTTTCCAATCAGACCTGAAAGATATTCACTGCTAGCATCTTGTTGCATTGCTAAGGGCCGTCATATGAGACTCCACACCCGATCGTGGTTCATGAGATACTAGTAATAGGAGCACTTCCGCGGAAAGTGATGGTTTGTGCTTTTGAGATATAGATAGGAACCCAAGGAAATAAGAGAATACCTACGCTTATAAGATAGCGGCTAGGTAGATATGCCATGAACTTCTAGCATTGTTCCAAGGAGAGTAGATAGCTTATTCTCTCACCCATGAACATTGACCTGACGTGAAGGCTGACCATTCTTTCCAGGGCCGAGCAACTTATGAATGTTAGTGGATTATCCGGAGCCCACATAGCATTTTTTTCAGGCCTTCCTTTGCCGTTCATCTAAGTGAGCTGTTATTTTCATCCAAGACATGTGCTGAGTGATTCCAACACCATCCGTAGAAGCACAACTATCTTGAAAGGTATCCGAAACAGATTTTGTTACTTGAAGAAAGGAGCTTTGCGACAATGAGATATCTTCTGACCCAGAGTATCATTTATGTTTAAATGGTAAATAAAGGCTTATGGGCTGTATGGTATAAGCTGCCTAATAAATCACTGTAATGCCTACCGCCTCGGAAAATTCCAATTTGAAGAGACTGGTTTTACGAACTTCCATAATACGCCCCTAGGTAATATCTAATAAATCTACTCACCAAAGCTTATCGGCTGTGAATGAAGTATGGATTCAGCAAGCTACGTTTTCCTATGCATACAAGCTTTGGTACGGCCCAGCACAGGTCATTTGCCCACCCCTACCGGCTACCATACCAAATACTCAGCAGCAACAAAAATAATAGACTCATGCCTTCATAAGCATAGAGACATGAGCATGCCTAATACACAGTTTCACCAGCCTATCGGCTTCGTATGCTGCCATTGCCGGTACCGCAGTAGCGGGAGCTTCTGCTCGAATCCCGACAGACCAGACTGCCCACATCGTGGGCTTCCTCGCTGCCAACAGTGTCCTATTCTCTTTACACCGTCTCGATCTAACAGTAAGCCGAGCTGCGAGAGTAATTGCGAAGTGCGAAGGAAAGAGCCAGGCCCTTCACAGATGACAGAGAGGCATGCTTCCTTTGATTCAAGCATAAGTGATGGCAGTGTAGACGAGTCTATATTCTCAGGCGGTGCATATTGAGAAAAAAGAGGAAAGAAGAACAGCAAAATGAGGATGAAACAGAAATATTGACACCGATAGCTCAATGTTCTCACAACACCCTGGGGCCTCTTAGCCAAGTCGATCGCCATGGCTCCCTGGCGAAAAAAGATTTGTGGTTGCTATCAAATCAACTACCTACCTGGGTAAGTAGAGGAAGAAGGCTAAAGTTAGGTACTAGGAGTTTCCTTCACTCACCTTACTAAGCTGACGATAGCTTAGAAGTATAGAACTCTCTAGATGAGAGGAGCAGCATTGATTGTATTGAATTCTACTGAGCGCACTGTTAGGAGGAACGGGTGGTAGCTACGAAGTCTCAGAAAGACTTGAAACTTCATAGAGAGTTAAAGAAATAGAGCCTTAGATGTTCCCAAAATGTACTCAGATTGTTCCGTGCGGGAATATTGTCTCGCGTCTGTGTGCCGCTTCGGCATGTAGCTGTTACCAACGCACAAGTAGATGCGTCGAATCTTGAATCAACTAATTCTCGTAGAAATCTCGACTTGGCGCTCCTTATCTTCCATTTATTTCTAGGGGATTATGAACTCTAGATCTATAGTTTGGAAGTTTACTGCGTTAGTAAATAATCAGAAAGGGTTTGTCAAGTGGGATGGCACAACATTGGAAAAGGGGTAACCGCTAATGTCATGGACGTACCCACTAGAACAATCCATCGTCCTTCTCGTCCGACTGCTCATCCCAACATCGCATTTCAACGATTAGTTGAGGTGCATCAAGGGGATTCCTGGTTACTTCAAGCGGAATCCCGTTGGTGTAAACCTTCTAAGTCAAACTTGGAACTATACGCCCTGGCACCATGCCAATAAGCTTACTTCCGGCGACCATTGAACTCAACCAACCGAAAGGATAAGTCGGTTCCCAATAGCACATAATACAAGCCTTCTAAAAGCCTAACTGGCTGACTGGTACGGCGCCCCTTGTGAATTGGTGGGATATTCATCCTCAACAACCTCAACAACCTTGGGCTTATGAACGGCGATATCTAAGTGGCCTAGCGGTTTCGTTTTGTATCGTCACCTGCATCATATATCCCGGGTATGAATAATTGGAAGTATTATCATAATCTCATGAGAACTAGCAGATAAAGAAAACCATTTCCATGTCAGGTTTTGTGAATTTACATTTATCAGCGAAGTCCTTGTAATAGCATATTCCGTGACGATATAAGTGTCGGGTTTTGTTTCACGGTAATAGTGCATACCTAAGCTAATAAAGTATATATCCTAGCGTGGCTTTCTCCAATACCAACCGTATTGCTGGCCTGTCTGGAGAGCGAGGTTGAAACTTGATGTTCCGATGTTCGTAAGTATAGACTAAGAGACAAAGACGCTCAATCTGGGCTCCTGGCGTATCTCGAAGCTATCGGCCGACAGTATCAAGCTCGGAGACCGAAGTTACTGCCGCAAAGTTGGTCTCCAAGTGTCAAGTATCACGTTTAACCACAACTGCAAAGTCTAGACCATGACGCACTGAGAAAGAAAAGGGTCTTCTCTCTGACCGGCTTGATCGCCTGAGACATCTGTATTACCTCGCAGCCAGATGCCATAAAACTTAGATTGACTACCTGCAACTTCAAGCATCGAGAACAGGGGTAACTCTAGACAAAGACGTGTGATAGTGGCTACCTACGCGAGAAGCTTGGCGGTTTAACTTAACGATCATCGTCCCCAAGACAGTCATAATATTCAAGATATTTCTTGATGGACTTAGTTGTCACAAGCCCTCCCAGTCTGTCAGTCCGGGCTGCCTTTGTCAAAGATAGGATGCGGGTAGGTGCACCGTGTACGATGTGAGAGTTGACAAGATATATGGACCTAGATCGTAGAGAAAAGAGATCGGGTGATAACAAGCTGGCAAATGTAAGATCGGATATCGCACTCTGTACATCACTGACTAATTCTAGATCATAATACAGGACGGGTTCGTGGGTTGGGTATTGTCGACTGCGCCATCTGAACAGTGGAACTGACAACATTGACAACACGAACCATTGACGCAACGTCGTGCCGTAACATGTGGACATCGCCATAGCCCCATTGCCCACTTTATCATGGGAAGGAGGATTACTATTTTCGTAAACAGGTACGTATGAGCATGCGGCCTCAGTGACCCTACAAACCAACTGCCTTTCCGTGTATATCGGCTGTTCCGAAAACTCCGTATGAAGCCGGAGATGAGCCATCGTGTTGTGCCGTACTCCGCTATAAGTGAATATGTCCGACGGATATGTGAGTAAGCTCTTGGCTTAATTGTCAGCGATATGAAGGGTCCCACTCCATATTGATGACTTCTACTGTAACGGCGATATGGTCAACGATACACATACACGGTACCCGGGTAGGCTACGCGATAAGCTGATGAGCTGAAGACGATGCTATCAAACTAGTTTTGTATTTGACGTTAGCCTTTACGGGTACGAATCGCATTCGCGTACTGATGGAATACAGTCGAGAATAGCGAGCGTTTCAAGGCTTCATATTCCTATGAGTGGGCACGTATGACACGTCACTTTACCATAGTAGCCTGCGTGAAGCTTGGCAGCATTCCTCGAACCGTCCTTTTCGCGAATAGTGAGTTACTTGACGCCGAGCGGGCCATGAAATGCCTCGACCTTGAAAGATGTGTGGTGCGGCATGCGAGACATAAATCTGTCTGTCTCCTTTGGGCCTTTAGGCCCTGAGGCACGTCGCACGCGTCCCTTGGCAGGAAGCGCATTCTGTCTCGACAGGCTGCCGCCCGTTTGCCAAAAGCCCGCAAATGAGCTGGCGAGTGAAAGGGGCCGGACGTGCTACGGGAAGCTCGCCTGTTCGAGGATGCACATACATATTTTGCAACACTGCACTGTCGCCCCAGAGATCCTTCCCAGCTGACGTGCAGCGCCGTCGTACATTCCCCGGAACACCCCCCTTTTATCTGCGAAGGCGCGCACTTTATCGGAAGGTAGTTTAGTTTAGGTGGGCACTATGCTTCTGGCTGTTCCGGCTCCCAGAATTACCGAAGCCCCATCTTCACTCCGCGCGGTAAGCCTCCGCGCGGGACCGGAGCATGGCGGCGATGATGGGCGGTGTCCTGTTATGAAAAGGAGAGGATGGCTTGGGATGGGCTTGGCTCGTTTCGTTTCCAGAGACGCCAAGGACGCGATCTCTCGCGCCCGAGAGGTGCCAAGTTCTTGTCGGTCCGACGTGTAGCCAGTCCCTTCGGTTTTCGCCCCTAATACCAAGAGATTCGATCTGCGCACAATCGACTTGGCAGGGACGGCAGTGGAACTCATGAGTCGCTAGCGAAGGCGCGTCGGACTTTTATTAAGAATCCACATACTTACCTAGGTAGATACTGCCGTTGTTGCTATTATTATGATTCTTGAGGATATCGTAGACGAGATATGTAGACTGTCACGTTTTAGACGGCACTTCCCGAGGCCTTTCGGGACGTTGGTTAATAAATTTGTCATCCTGCGTGGTCTGCGTCGTGTAGAAACATACATGCTTCGGGTCATGCTCAGACTACGTATCAGTTATGCGGTATTTTTACTTGCATTCTTCAGCAGCAGAGCAGCAGAGCAGCTGCAAATATGGGCAGATATGGGCTCGTGCACGCGTGCGAGCAAAGCGAGAAGTAAAGCAGCGTATGTCTCACGCGTGAGACTTGTCAGAATGACTGCATCCATACATGATAGGGCATACACTAGGCACATAATAGAGCTTCTACATGAGGGCGTTGAAAATATCCAGACTAGACTCCAGCTTGCCACGTCCCCATGTTTCTCCAGGTTATTTGACAAGACGGGATGGAGCGGCGGCAGGGATGTAATTGTTGCGCACTAGTACCCGTCTTGGCTCTTTATGAATATCATCATGGACTGTGTGGTCTGTGCCGGGAAAGCTAAGGAAGACTGGCTAATTTCGCAAGGCAACTTTCATAATCAAAAACAAGCTTTGCCATGGCGATTTTACTGGGGATTCACTTCTGACCCCCAAGAAGGTAAGACGGCACACGACGGTGAGCAGGGTGAGCTGATGCTAGACAACAAGGGGTCATATTCGCTGACGTGGGGAAAACCTGGAGACAAGAGATCAGGGACCCCAATTGTTGGTTTTGGATGCTTTGCTTACCGTCGGTGATCCGATGGGTTGCCGTCACGATTCCTGCAGTCCTGCAGGCTGGGGAGATTTTCCCACGGCTCGCGTTCCTTATGGACGACGCTGGTCATACTAGCCACGCCCATAAGCTTGTTGGCACACCTAAAACTCACCGGTTCCTTCGGCAGGTCGAGATCGCTCGCCGTCCGAAAAGCTTATTCACCGCCACTTTCGTATTAGCTCCCCGATGCTGTCGGCTATGGTGGGTTTGGTGGCTTTTCTTAGTAAAGCGGAGGCGCGAGGCGTCACGTTTCGAGGCTCTCAATGTCGAGGACGGCCATTCAGGAGCCACAGCTCGCCCTGCTGCAATCGGTCTGGCTGCGTTGGTTGTGGTTTCATGGCTGTCATCATTTAAAATGCCATCGGCAACATCCCAGTCGGACGGTGCTGATTGCCTGGCTAAGGGACTTCACCGTTGGTTCCTTTTCTCCCGAGACATACCCCATGGGTAACCATGTCGTTATGTGGTCGAGGATTAAGGGTATGGGATAAATCCCTCAAAAACATCGAAGTTACCTGACAGTCCGACCCTTCGATACTTTGATACGGGATGTATGTATTGTGAAGGACACGGAAAGATCCATTGGGATGACAGAGCCAGGCCTGGATCTCGCTTATACTATGTGCATGGTTTTGCAACTCTGACTTCGGTAGTCAGCAAAAAAGAAAACGATCGTAATTGCGACGATAGAGAAAACTTGCCGATCTTGTACCTAGCCAAGAGCCTCAAAAGGCTGACTGCTTCGCCAAGCGTGAGGAATTGCCATACATTAAGCTCTTACAGATTACACTGAACTGGCTGTACTAACACAGCCTGGTACCATTCTCTTGGCCATTTAATTTTTTTATTCTTGCACAGCTCACGAACTCATCATAGTTATCTGGCAGCCTAGACAGCGTGGCCAAGACGGCTTGCCACATCTCAACCAGATTGTGTAGTTTGGAACCCTTTTGACAGCAGCTAATGCAGGAGGGAATGCAATGCTTAGGTCACGAGAGGTGAAGAGCCTAACCCATAGGAGGCCCCGATTCGTTGATTCGTTGCTGGTACGTAGAAGGTACCGCGCGAAACGAAGCTGGACAAGTTTGCTCTTTTGGGACGACTGCAGAACAAGCGACCCAATGGCCAGCCTCGGTTGCGTGGGGGAAATACAACGCTCCATCGAGTCTATTACCGTCATGGGCAAGGTTGGGGGTAACAGCCCTGTAGAATACTTGGCGGATTGCCACTTTCGACAAACCCGACCTTGTTACGAATGTAACAACATCAGTAATGGAATTTCAGATGCCTGCCCCGGCTTCTGGGCTGCTGGGATCGCTGTAGGTTTGAACTGGCGCCGACTCGACGCACCGCGTACGAAGTATCCGAATATTAGTTATGAACGCATACACTACTGCCTACCTACCTAGATATGTTACCACATATGCCAGATTTAGACCCATAGGACAAGCAATGCAAATGTAAAGGTTAAAGGTTGAATCATGATCGCCATCCCGACGTGCTTCTCGACTGACGGACAAGAAGCCTTGGCTACATCTATGAGGACGTCTGCTTGATAATTCAGCCGGAGTCTTGTAAGCTAGGCGGAGCTAGGCAAAGATCTCGACCGAAGCCTATTATTTCTTCGCTCTATCTGTTAGATATAAACTTCATATATTCAGCTTGGCCCGCCTCGGAAAGGGAATCGGCCAAGGCGTAATTCGGTCCATCCTAGCGATAACTAAGTACTAGCGACGTCGATAGTCACATTCTAGAAAACCGAGACATTTGATCGCATTAACCAATCAGGACACCGAGATCGTTCACAATCCTGCTTAGATAGAGACATGTCCTGCACCTTGTGGTCAATGATTTTCCAACGGTCTCTCGCGCTTACATTCTCGCCAAGTGCATGTAGTTGAAACTTGGAAGAAAAGCGATTCTCATGATCTTCTTCGTTCTAACCGTCATCGCGCACACACTCTCTCCTGTTTGATCCATCCTCCGGTGACAAAGGAGGACCCCGCTACCTTCGGTAGTTAAAAAGAGGTTCCGAGTATGTCATGGGAAGTCTAGCAAATCTAATTCGTGCCCTGTCGCTCGTGGCGTGGATGATAGGTTAATAATTTTTATCGGGTTTTAAATCGAGGAACCCTTATAGAGTATCCACGAACCCAATACCGAATGCTGCAATGATGTCTAATCCAAAGGGGAGGTTAGGTATGTCATAGAGTTGCTTTGAGTATTAGATCTTGAGATCTTTTTTTATGGACGAGTGGATGCCGAAGCCCGCCAGCCAGACCCGGGACGGTAGACAAACGAAAGCGCGAAATGCGGCGGCATGCAACCAGGCGACGACACATGCTGTTGCCGTCTCGGAGACCTCTCGGAATGGATCACATCTTCCTGGTGTACGTCGTTGGGTACGTAATCTGCGTAATCAAACGAAGGGCAGAAGAGACAACTGTCAAGAAGGAAATAATTGGAAAGGATGGCATGCACATATCTAAGAATACCTTCATAGTAAAATACACCTGCCAATGCTGGGCGCGTCAGCGAATTCGCAACAGCGATCATCATTTGGCCTTGGCAAGCTTGCGGAAAATGTTGATCGGAATATCTTGTAGAATGGCGGTGCCCTGGGCAGCCTGGGCAAGTGTTTGCTAATATCAGTTCGACCTCCCATTATCCGGACACGCCTATGCTCTATCGGCTAGTGCGCCAGCTTAGTTTCTTAACAACATCCCTTTGGATCTTCTGCTAAGTGTCATTGATCGAGAGTCAGGACGGTGCGTAAACTAACGGAGGGCATCTGCTATGTAGGTATCTAACCTACATATGATATGACGCAGGTAGGATCAGGCCTCGAAGCAGGATGGCTCGTGTCACCTTTCTCTACCAACAATGATGAATTATCCCCGTTCCACGAGACCTGGTAGGGCGACTTGACTCGCAATTCTCGTACTTGGCGTAAAATTGCACCTGTAGATGCACCTAACGGTCCCGGGCCTCAGCACTTACATCATTTCGAGGACGGCACGGAAAGCAACCGGCAACCACGGTTGTTCTACGACGGCTGGACGGTCCCCTTCCTACGGCGTCAAAGTTTAGGGAGTTTAGGAAGCGCGATTATGATTATTAGCGCACGCTTCGATCATTGAACGGTGGGAGGTGACAGAAACCCCTCGGGTCCTTGGCGGGCGGGAGACGAAGGAGAGTCGCAGGAAACGCTGGATAATGGCTGGGTTGAATTGCGTAGAACGCCGCTACGCCAAGGCCTTGGTCTGAACCTGTAAATAGATGAGCGATTCTTGGTATTGCCAATGTTTCTGGTGTGTGGTGAAACGATACCGAGCACAGGTAAGAACTCAATTACACAGCCAAGAAGCCCCAGACGGCAATCACTTACAGTTACAAGTGTTTTGCCAATTTGTTTGATGACAGAGCCACCTTGCAAGTATGTCACTGACGCAAAAGTATCCTTGGCGTTGGATGCAAGTACCGGTGACCACGAACGAAGGAATCTGTCTTGACTTCCCATTTTTTCTAGAACAGAAGGTCGAAGACGATAAATGCAGGGACTATTTCGCCATAAGCTTATGGTTCTCATCCACTGCCGCTTCCTACGGGAATCTGTGCATATGGGATGTGATGGAAGTGAAGCAATTGAGAACAGTGTGATTGCGCTCCCATCGCGAATTTCGCAGTGTTACTTAATTTGTGACCAACCAATCATAGAAGTCGAGATTCCCCCTATGGTAATATTAGGTAAACACCATTCACATGTATTTGCGCCGTTAGCTCATAACTTTTGGAAGTGTATACACGTGTAAGTCATGATGCTATCGGAGGCCATCGATTCGACATCGTGACCAAGAGCAAAGAATCAAGGGCAGATTGACGTTCCTCGAGCTTGCCCAACCACGACAACATTGAAGACTATCACTAGACAGCCAAGAGTATCTATGGAATTTAAACGCTAGCCCAAGACGATAGACTCCTTCCAAGCAAAGTGGCTGAACTTAATAGGCAATGAGCCATGCCTGTTCCGTACTTGCCTAGCCACCATTTATTACTGTATTCTGACAACTGGGTTCGTTAGTCAGCCTCGACCAACAATGTCGAAGTAAGTTCTTATTACTCTTGCTGAATTGTAATCGAGCATAAAAGTTATGAAGTAGCCTCGGGATCCCGATGATAGTGGCAGGAGTGGTGGGAATAGTGGCTCCTTACCCGCCCACTTAGAAACCACGAACGCCCACTCTAATGCTGGGGCCCTCTGGGGTCTCCATGGACCCTAAGGTCCCAAGAAACAACTAAGGTTAATTCTTTAATTAATAAGACTTTAGAATCGTTAAGCGTAACGAATGGCGTCGAAGTAACACACGCCATGAAGCGTATCGTCCACATTTTCTCCGTTTCGCCGCGGTAGTGTCTCTAGTATGTGTGTATGAGGTAGGTATGTATGTATGTAGGTATGTATAGGATACCTCCCGAGGTACCTCGCGCTCTCGTCGCGTTTTGCATTACATACATGTATGTATCATAGGTATTACTAGATATGTAATAGTGTCAAAGGCTATGGTTGTTATCTACCTGTGTATGCTAAGCTGTCTGTATTATGTATGCAGTAGTCAGGGCCGTAATCTCACGTTTCCCCATTCTGACCATCGATCTATATACACGTACTGTGCTGTAGGAGAGTAGAACCGCCAAGGCCGCATGGATTTTGCCGCGCAATTACAGCGTACACGTCCTACTGCAAAACAGATTCTGAGCGAGCCAGAGCCAAACTTCAATACCTTAGCACTATGTAGGAGGTTAGTTAGATATGTACGCCAAGATAATTCCTTTCGATGATCAAAGTCCGAGATTGACGAGGTACTAATATCTTAGATCTCCCTTTACCATTGAAGATTTGAGTCTTTTTTCGTCCTTGGGTTTTTCTAATTCTATCTTAAGTCGGTATTATTTCTCTATCTTATGCTTTCTCCCCACGCGGTGCTACCCACTCTACCACTTACATCTCTATCTTTGCGCAGTATACTGCATATCACTGCTACGATACTACTCCCTACGCCCAAAGCGTCCCTAGCATAGCAACCCTAACTTTCGAACCTGAGAGTTTGGTTCTTGACCGGGAGCACACACCACATACATCACTCTTCCTGCAAGCCGCTTCGTCTAGTCCCCTTCCACAGGGCCTTCTGCAGCTAGCAGTGCAGGATTTGAGTTGCGTTCCGTATCCTGTACTATACCTACACTACATACCTACATACTTTCTCACTGCGCAGTTTACTTCAACTAGGGTAGACCTTGAGTGCCGTAGTTGTGGGTTGCTCGCATGCACATTACAACTTTGGCCAAAGATCAACGAAGCCGCCACTAGATTCGACTTACAGACATTATACGCTCACTGTCATGTCGGTTCTTCCTCAGCCCTTAACTCTATTATTATAATCGGCTTCCATCCCCCTCACGGACGGATCTTGCTTCCTCCTCTTCTTTCTCTCCTTGCCTTGGCACCCAGGCATCGTAGATCTCTGGGATCCTTTATAATACCTCCGGCCCTGTACGCTGTGTGCCACCACGACATTGCAGCATACCCACCACATATAAATCACCACCACCCACCCATCAGGTAGTATAATACCTGCACCGAATCTTCGAAGAAGGAACCAGCCAAGACTATCTTGCAGAGAGTTCTTGCTCTTTAGTCCACACGTTTACAGCACGCCATTCTTGTTCGTCTCTTGTCTCGGATTCCACTTGAGGTGTATACGAGATTTTGTGTTGAGATATCCGAGAGCGAGAGGAGCACCGGTTTGCTATTCCCGCCGCCCCATCGAAAAAGCGCCTTGCCTTGTCTATACTAGTCCGGTGTCGTCAGCCCGCCTTAATAAGATAGCACCGGGTGCTCTCGTTATCGACGAACCAAGATTCAGGATCCAATCTTATAATAAAGAAAAAAGGGACGTCATCGGAACGCCGAATCGAACCGAACGACCCCGACTGCCGACTACCGAGGGCTGCTCCAGTCATTAGTACCATCTAGAACTATTCTGGGTGTTATTAAGCGGCTAGTCTGTAATTTGTCTGGTGTTTAGGTCCAACGGATTGAACATCTCGTTGATAAGAGAATTGTGTCTAAGCTGGGATATGGACTAGTTGTGAACTGGCCGGATCAGTCTACGTTTTCGGATACTATTCCAGGAATTCGAATTGACACTGCGTACGGAAAATAACGCTCGAACCATCGCCGAAGTCCCGCCATAGGTCCCTCAATAGGTCCCTCGATAGGTCCCAGAAGGACCCAAACGAATTATTCGACGCCTTAATTTACCACTGCATGCTACCTGGATACCACCTGGAACCTGCCTATACTACCCTGAAACCGTTGGTCTAAAGTTGGTTGTCAAGCTTCTAACCTAGAAAGCCTAGCGCCCTCAGCATTATCAGCACAGGCCCCCTTTTTTCTCTCACTTGATCTTTCCTGCTTTCTTGTACCGAAGTACTAGTACAGTACCTAGGGTACATTTGTACCAATCAATTTATAACGATGGCAGCCCCACAAACCCAAACCCGGCCAGCACCCCCAGCGATGTCATCGCCATCGCAATTAACTAGACCCTCGTACTTTCCCGCATTGAAGCCCTTGCAGAGACAGTCGCAGTCGGCGCCCACTTCAAATCAATTGTTGCATCCGCATCCTTCCACCTCTGACGCCGAAGCAACGACAATAAAAACAAACTCTACATCAGTGGACGCTGCAACTGCAACTGCAACTCCTGCAACACTTGTTACCAGAATTTCGTCATCTGCATCGACGAAATCTGCAAATTCTGCTAAGTCAACCAAGTCGAGCAAATCCACCAAGTCTGCCAAATCAACAAAAAGGTCGCCAGGTATTTTCAACCTAGAGCGACCACCATTTGACTTCGCAATAAATTTAATCATTCACCCTACAGACCTCTCACCGTCACCGTCTACCTCTTCACTAAATACCACCAATACCACTGCTACCTCCTCCACCTCTTCCCAAACCCCAATTGACTCACTTCGGCGTTATCCCGCAGAACTCACCAATCCAATCCCCGAAGAAGGTGACGAGGAAACTAGCAGCGAGTCATATTCCAACGAACCCATTACGCCAGTCAGTGGGAGACAATCACGGGATTTTCGCTATTGCGAACAAAACGACACTTACCACCGCGATTCCATTACTAATTACTCTGTCGCCTCTTCATCAGGTGTTGCAGAGCATGCTGACGATTCGTTGAACACTGTAAATCTTAATAAAGACGCCGTGAACCCGGCTCTTTCATTCCCTTCTCCGAACCACCTCGTTGTTCCTGCACAACATCTAATACCACCTTCACATGCTCCACCACCACCGCCTACTACTCTTACATCACAGCCGACATCTGATGAGCCATTAAATACACCGCCTTCACCACAAACTGAGAGCTACCGGCCAAAATCTGCACGTCGTCCATCATCATCAAGAAGAAAACTCGGATCTCGACGGTCCTCATCTGCGCTTTCCACAATTTCTGTGTTTTCCAGAAAAATGTCCATTTTCAAGCGCAATAGTTACCACGTGGGGGACCGCGGTGCAACAGCCGATTTTAGAGACCCCAACTATGAATCGGGTTCGTCTGAATCCAACCTCACCCCGTCCGTTCGGGTAACACCGAACACAAGCCGCCGTCGCTTCTCCATGCAGAGGTCGACACGATCTAACACCCCACCTTCGCCTGCCTCTCCCGTAGATACGCCCCCAAATTCTAGGGATAATTTAAACCGCATCTCCATCCCCACTAGTAAGGACTTTTTGGAGAATCGCTCCAAGAAGGGTAGAGCCAACACCGGCCTCTCAATACGCGAAAAGGTGGTCAATTTCACCTCAACCAAGTACCCTCGACGGACTCGAAGTGTGGAACGAAAGAAGAAGAATGAGGAGGAGCTGACCAGGCAGCCATGGGCAATTCCTCCGGATGCTGGGACTGGGATGAAGGCCAGAAGACTCAGTCTGAGTCTCCCGGATGACTTTACCGTTGATGTCGCCGAACTCATGAAGGAATATGAATACCAGCACAAGTTCCTTGGTCGTCATGGCAAACACCTTGGTAAGGGGGCGACTTCGAAGGTCACCTTGATGGCGCGTAGGGGCAGCCCCGGAGAGTTATATGCCGTCAAGGAATTCCGCTCCAAGAGTTCATCGGAGACGGTGGAGGAGTACGAGAAAAAGATCAAATCCGAGTACAGCATCGCCAAAAGCTTGCATCATCCCAACATCGTCGAGACTATTCGTCTATGTACTAACCACGGACGTTGGAATCATGTGATGGAATACTGCTCCGAAGGTGACCTTTTTACATTGGTCTCGAAGAGGTACCTCAAAGAAGAGGGCCGCGACGTGGACCGTCTTTGCATATTCAAGCAGCTCTGCCAAGGAATCAACTACCTGCACTCGAATGGTATCGCCCATCGCGATATTAAGCTGGAGAACCTTCTCATTACGAAGGATAGCAAGGTGAAGATTACCGACTTCGGCGTTTCGGAAGTATTTTCTGGCATTCACCCCGGCCTTAGGGAAGCCGGTGGTCAATGCGGTATCGGCATGGGCGAAGTACGTCTTTGCAAGCCTGGTATCTGCGGCAGTCTTCCCTACATCGCGCCCGAGGTGCTCAGCAAGAAAGTGGAATACGACCCGCGCCCGTTGGACGTGTGGAGTTCGGCGATTGTGATGCTCTACCTCATCTTCAATGCGAACCTATGGGAGAAGGCGCAGTTCGGTGGATCTAAGACCTACAATGAACTTGCCTCTGGCTGGGAAAAGATTGACGCGAAGAGAGCAACCGATCCGGAATCGGTCAAGGATGCGTATCCTAAAGTCCAAGCGTTTGAATGTTTTGTCAAGCCCGTCGCACTTCGACGTATTCTCCTCAATATGCTTCACCCCGACCCGCAGAAGCGGATGACGATGAACGAGGTTGTTACGAATCGATGGATCAAGAACATCGAGTGCTGCCAGCTGGAGAGTTATGAGGATCCGGTCAAGTTCATCGATGCATCCAAGAAGGACTGTATGAAGTCGAGCACAGGCAAGATTTTCTGCCACAACCACCTACCGCCTTTAAGCACGGGACACGGTCTACCTCCTATGCCCGGAAAACCTGGCTATTAAGGGAGGATCTTGAACGAACCCTTTCTAATACCTCTTCTTCTATTTTCTTTTTCTTTTGTCGCATAAACTTCTGGCTACGGTTCGTGTCAATACACAGGCGTTTTACGGCGATATCCCAGGGACTTCGAGGGAACAGGAGGGGCTCTTGGCACTGCGATGTGCATTTCACGCGTTCATGGATCATATAAAGTATTGGTGCCTACACCGTACATAACAAATTCGTTTCTCTTGCGTTTCTTTGCGTCTTAGCATGCGGCATATGAGTTGTCGGACACGCGACGCTCGCGGTTAACAGCATAAGCATTCAGGGTGGTCTGGTGTCACATTTGAACGAAAAAAATTGTCTAGTGGATGAGGATTGTGCGAGGCGAGGAATGAGCCTCGCGTGTCTAAGTTTCTGTAATACGCTAGAAGGGATACGACCTCAAAGAAAGGCCATCCAACATAAGTCAAGCCGTGGTTTTAACTGCGGTGAGCAATACAAATTGCTTCATCAAGATTTGATATGTGCATTGTGATATTATCATGTTATCAGCGTGACAAGTTCCCCTGAATGAGGTCCAGAATGATGGTAGGCGGTCCGCGCGGTGCGAGCTGAAGTTAGACATACCTTAGACAGGGTGAAGCATTGACCATATGAGACGAACTCACATCTCACACATTTGGGCGCACGTTCATCGATGCATTTCATTCCCCCGCAAAATGTAAGTATCCAAAGTCCCCGGCGCGACACAGATCGCGCGGGTGGCGTAGTCTGACAACTTAATTGATAGGTACCTAGGTTACGCCATTATCTCAGCATGGGGTGTCTTACCGTAGCTTACCGTAGGAGCGTGGCTGCGTGGGTGTCAGACATAAAAAAGCTTGAACGCCATGCATCCTCGATGTACTACCTATGGATGATGTATGTACTGTACATTTGTGTATTATGGCGGCTACTTGTTCAGCTGCTACAGCATTGAATCTTATTGTCTCATGTTCAGCGCTCAACTATTCCCAATTGATATACCTACTAGGTAGTTCATAAGCGCCGGATTACTTGAATACACGTTATCAGATACATGATATTGTAGTGCGACAACAACATGTTATTTAGAAGACGAGAATCTTAAATTTCGCGCCTAGATCTAATTAGTACCTAGGTACATTCAGATTAGGAGAAAAAAGGAGTGAAAAAAAGTTCGGCTCAATCGGCATCGGCGTCTCGCGCTGATCGTTCACCGGAAGCACTTGACCATTTGCGGATTTTGCTGCTAATCAAAGCTAATCAGATGCGCAGTAGCTCGGTCGTCATTTGTATTCCCGGGGGAACGGGCTTCCAATGAGTGATCCCCATAGCCCATCCGTAGCCCATCAATCTCCGTCGGCTTTCTTCCAATAAACCGTCAAGACGATGTCGGCTGCGCTGCCTCATTTCCCTTCAAATTGTGCTAGCGTTGTAGCCAAGCGAAAACAAGCCTTTTTCGCAAATGCAGAACCTGCGGAACCTGCAGAACCTGCATGATGCATTTTTGCCCTGCTGTGCGGTTGTACAGTTACCACCTCTTCGTGCTACCTCGCTCTACATAGGTGGCAGCGAATTGACAGGAGCTTAGGTACTGTACATACACACATTACGTATTTTGGAAAGAAAGAACTCTCTTACCCCTGTTGACGCCATCGGCCAATCAGGGGTCGTTCTTGCGCATTATATCCGGATACGGTAATCCATTAACCTTGACCGCCAGGGAAAGAGGAACAGAAGAACTGTACGTGTGCTACCACGTGTGGGGGAGACAATTTTGGAAAGTTTCGCTTCAGCTTTTTACAGCCATCTTCTTTATCCTTTTGCTTTGCGCATGCGCTGTCATGGGAAATATGTCCCTACCAGGATGTTCTGAATCATGATAGCTCATTGACCATGGTGGTAATAATTCCGCCGTTGCGTTAGCTGCCCGTTACGGAGACATTGTGTATGTTCTGTGTATAGCGATTCGGCCGTTCTTCTCATGTGGCCATGAACCAGGAACATCTGTGGACAGCAATCCTCGACTCTATCCGCCTTCGGTGCCGATACGACACAAGCCAAACCCCGGCCGCCCGGCTAACTGCCATCCTTAGACGATTGCTTCACGCTAGCTACCTCTAGGTAATCTAGCCTGTGCTAATCTCGTTGATCTGGCTGGCTTATCCCTTTCCCGCGCCTGTTGCCGCTTTTGCCGCATCGCCGCCTTCCCTCTATCCTTCTCGTAGGTGTTGGCGGGGGCCACTTCGTCTGATTCGTGCCCGCCGTGACCATGGGATTTTACCTACATCTGCAAGTTTGAGCGTCCGGCGAAAGGGGGTTGGCTATACGGGATATCCTACATCAAGATCTCTGCTTACTTCGTCCGGGCTTTTCGAACAAGCAAAAATCGGCGATCCGTTGCGACGGAAGGGTCACCTTGCCTACCTAGCATACCGGTAAGGTTCAAACGTACATCTTACCTCATCCCGTCATCCGCTTCATCTCATATCCGCGCGCACGCTTGATGAACCCCCATTAGGGTGTGTGTTATCGCAAATATGAACGAAAGATCCAGACCCTGTCTATCAGACCCGCGGCTTTCCTTCGGCGGGTGACACGTACAACCGCGACATGGATGAATTTCCAATTGATTGTGTCGCGTCCACTTGCGTGGGGGGTTATTGGGACAACGGCGGGCCTTTGTTTGCCGGCGTCCTGCTCCGGCTTGCCAAAAATTGAACTAGCATCGTGTTCTGAGGAACTTCGGTTTTATCTATCTAGCTATTACGGTCCACGGCACAGCACTATTGCTAGCTTTTGATCTAGCGTCAGAGATGCATGGCAGCTGGCGGTGCGCTAACAGCATGTAGGGATGGGGTGCCGGTCGCCTTTTGTCGAGCAGGATACAGCCTGCTGAGTTACTTGTAAGCAATCACACGCACATGTCTGGTACGAGTGTACGGAATACATACGTAGCGATCTCTACATACATCTGTACATATATGTTGTAATACCTATATGACGGGAAACGCCCTCTATTATGCAAATCCTTCGGTTACGGTACGGAACAGTTCGAAACCAAGCCGGACAGAACGCCTCTTACACAAGAGCCGACGTCACAGCGACGGGAAGAACGCCTAACAAGGGTTCTCTTGGCCTTGCTAAATCCCAGGTCCCCAGAAACTTGAATGCCCAGCCTGCAAGACGGCCGCTTGCCAGATGCCGCGCACCTTGGCATCTAACTGCCAAGAGAGCCGCATCTTCAAGCAAAGTGCATATTTAGAACTACATGGTACGCATGTCACGATGATAGACCTAAGGTCAGCCTTGTATAAACATGGTCATGGCATGCGAAACACGCTGGCGAACAGTTTCCAGTAAGGTTCTAGGATACGGTTCTACGACATGTGGGCTTTCTAGAACCCACGCTGTGCTTCACTGCGGGATTTCATTCTAGATGAGCTATATGTGCGTGATATCTTCGGGCCTTCGATAAGCGTGGCAAAGGTCCAGCCTGGTGTGAGCGAGAGCGGGCGATGAAGTAAGTAATCGCGAGTGTGACCTGTTTCCTAGGTGGAATATTGAGTCTCGACCTAGGTCTATGAGATGTGTTGCCGAAGTCTTCGATACTTCCTCGAGACTTTGTCGTGGGAACCCCTTCCACAACATGCCGTTACCCGACATCAACTATGATACACCTTTGCCTCACCCGAACCTGCGCCTAACCCTCCCTTACCGACCGAGTTATAATAATTTGTGATTGGGCTGAGCTATAATAATGAAACGACCTTCGAAAATTATTCTAAGGCTTCGAGGAAGGTGGGTGTCCTGCGGCATGATTGGTATGCTGTGTATGTGCGTGTGTTTGTGTAGGTGCGTAACATGATATATCGCCTCTCTTTCGAGCTGCACGCATCGGGGCTTTATTAGTTTCTGGGGGACATCCTTTACCACATGACTGGCCTCTTCTCCGACGGCACCTGCCATACCACCTCATGCAGAGCTACCATACCACCAATTCTTACCATCTACGTAGGTACATGCCTATATTCCCAAAATATATATGTCGTATAATTAAGAACGGGCGTACATTGCATCGCATAGGGTACATACATGCGACCTCACTTTACAGGACGGGACAGTCGATCATATAGGCGAATACCCATTCATCATGGCAATCTATTTTACGTGGTAATAAGGCAGGTATGTATGCTCGTCCATCATGCCGCGTAACCCTCGACGGTTGCACGCGAAAAGCTTGTTCGATCTTGGCTATTCCCCGGTGACGTTGGGCTGGCTTTGGCGCCTATGCGTCCTTTTCGCTTCCCGATGTTAGGGACGGCACGGGAATTGTTTGCTCAGGGGGCTTCGGGTTTTGGGCGCTTCTTCTCCTTCGCTGCGACGGTGATGTGGGCGACGTTTATGCTACGATGCCTAAGAGCGCGAAGCTAGATTTGCCTTCGTTTTCCTAATTACGACGAGGGTCACGGTGGCCCTGAGTCCGACGTCTAGGTCTTCGTCTTCGTGGATCGGTAGATGAGGTGGGGGGCTAGGTGGGAGAAAGAGCGAGAGGAAGGGGCTTTCATCGCGGGATTGACATGTGGATGTGGGGATGGGTATGACGCAGAGGGGAAGCAGTCGACGGTTTTTTTTGCCGCCGGGATTAATCGTGTTGTTTTGTTTGTCGAGGATGCGCACATGAGAAGATGCCACGACGAGATCTCGGAAGAAGCATGCCGAGACTTTCCAATCCCCCATCTGAGATCTCCCGGACCTTGCGCGGGTGGAAGTTTTTTCTTCGGGGGAATGTGTCGGGATGGGGCTTTCTGACGCATCGTGCATCGCGCTACGTGTTGGATGAGAGTCACCCCTTACCTCATGACCGATGCTTGTGATGTTTGCAGGAAAGAAGCGGTGAGGATGGGCGTCGTCGGTCACGCTATGACGATGCCGATATAACCCGGTGACGGCGAGCGCTCGGGTGATGCCGGGCATGGAAGGACCGCCCGGTTCGTTCCGGCGAAGGAGCTCCTTCCGCGACATTCCGGGAGGTTCCTTCCCCAGATGGTATCAGAAGGCCGGACCGGGACGACTTCAACCGCACGGCGGACACGCGGTAGGTACGGAATAGAGTAACGTCAACCCGTGATCATATCTGCGGGATCCGGACCTGATGTGTAAGAGGTACGCACGATTTAGTTTACTTAACACGAGTGAACCATGTGATCAAACCATGTCTCCTTTTAATGGGCAATTCCTATTTTCTACCTAGGTACTTTTACTTATTGGTTCTGTAATTTTCGTTAATTTGTTACGGTGACCCGAGAATAGAATTTGATTTATTCATCAACCTCGTATGAAAAGCCGACAAAATTTCTGCTGTTGTGAATCAGCTTCAATTATCGCATCGTGCTGTAGCTCTGCCCCTAAAATATCAACTCATGACAAAGCGTACAGAACTACTACTTCTGTCACACTATCTCAACAGACCTATTACCACGCAAGTATCGGTCGTCACGAAGATGATCGTACTCAATATTTCCAGGAAAGAGGTATCCACCGTGATTGAGGTCCTAAGATAGGTACCCATGTTTAACAATCATGGCTCTAGTTGTTGGTCTCCGCGATGAAAAGATTGGTTATCTACATAGGTACCTATGCACAAAGTTCATCTAGTAGGCACCTACCTTAAACATTCATAGCGTACCATAGAAACAAGAGAGATAAACGACTCTTATTTTCCGAGTGGGCGAAACTGAGATCCCGAATTCCTGGTGTTTTGCCTGAAAAGGGGGTTGGGGTTACATTGATTAATAAGGGCGAGCACGAAAAGGGGTAAAAGGGGAAGACACCAAAACAATCCTCAATTGGATACAAGATATAATGCCACCAACTTGTAACAATTATTTATTCCAATAGTACCCATTCCATAGTCATCATACTATTGTTCGGGAATATTCATGTACATATTATCTACCCAGCTTTTCATGTTCCTCTAATGAGCCATAGAAGTATCCTAAGGAATGCTGGGTTGACGCTCATTCCTCCATATAAAATTCTTCTAAAAAAGCTTACAGGTCTACGAATAGTAATCATAACTACATGTTGTTTCTAGTTTCAGAGCACATTTCGCCTCAATAGCAACGTTAGGGGGCGTAGGTATCCGCCTTCTAAGCAAACCCTCTACGCCATGATTACTATCGAACATGCCATTTCCATTAAGTATTCGGGTGGCCTAATCAGTGCGAAATCCCAATGGCACATGATAAAAAGCAAAATCTAAGATCTCAAACTTATCTAGAGCTTATTTTACTGTGCATTTTTGAGGATTGAATTTCACACCATCTTTTAAAGGCGAGAGGTATACCCACTTTTCGACTGGTTCATCCGACCTCGGCCGTCAAATGGAGGCCGGACAAATTTCTCTTCCGAACTTCGCAGGCGCCTGCATACATACTTGAAGCTTGATACGGCGGCAAAATCATACGAATCTGCTGGTACTCATTCAGCCTTATGAGCAAGGGTCCCATAGCTCAGTTGGTCAGAGCGTCGTACTAATATGTTCCTGTTTCATAAATAAGAAATATTGAGTAATGCGAAGGCCGAGAGTTCAAGCCTCTCTGGGACCATAAAATTTTTCTTTTGCTTTGTACCGCCACGACGAATTTCGATCCGCTCCAATGCTTCTACACCATGAAGTACTGGTGAAGAAGGATGTTGTACGCGATGTTTTTTCTTACCTTTTGTTAAATCTTCGCCGGTCGCATGTTTTCTTGAATAGGAGAATCCCCCTAAAGTCAATTGCTATGTACTTGACCACTGTCCCTTACTACATTTCAAGCATCGCATTAATAAGATTGGTGTTTTAAATAGTTCTGACTTGCAGCGGAATTCTAGCCAAGTTTCAACAAGGTTTCCGTATGAACGACTAGTTCCGAGTTTCTCTACTTCGTAGATGACTTCTTTGGGGCCACAGCTCTCTTGGTACCAATATCCGCCTACCCGACTTCAACAGCTGGAATGGAAGGTACTCGCGAGGAGAAAAGCGGTGACAAATATAGTTAACAATTCTTGTGCTACGGAAACCTGTTGTGTGATGGTATGCTCCTGTACATCAGGGGAGCTGAACACATCTTGACTCACTAACTAGATAATGTTGTGTCGCGTGAGACCGTTTCTATAGTCGGGCACCTGTCGCGATGAGAATATATATTCGGGACTACGATATAAGGAAGTTCTATCCTACATGGGGGAAACTGCTGCATTAAAAAAGACTCAAGCCGTACTATTCTCCGATCATATCAACGGGAAAATCGAAAATGGCCGTTGATTCTGTGCTATGTTCCACCTTTACTCTGCGGTGTCCAGTATTTCTTGTCCTTTTGAGACTTCACTGATCTTTCTTGCTGACTTAACTACCCACTTCTGCCGCACAAAAGCCGTTGGAACGTTTGAGCACATTCTTCGACGAACCTAAGCGGTTAAGAGATCCATTAATGACAAGTCGGCTCAATGGTCTAGTGGTAGGATACTCGCTTCGGGTCAAGTCTCATCCGATCTCATGACGGAGTAACAGACGGGATATCCCAATCTCAGAGAATGAGGTCCTGTGAGTGGTCCCGGGTTCAAATCCCGGTTGAGCCCGCCTTCATTTTTGTTGACGCTGTTGCCAACTTGGTGGAGTTCAGGAGGGTATTCGGACTCCGTGTGGTGGCTCGGAGGGCTGCTACGGCTAGTGTGGATCTAGTGGTGACAAATTCTTTTTGTGTGGGCCAGTTATCGACGGACAAACAGTACATGTGGGTCATTCGAATGGTCAATGTTATTACTATGTTCGCCGGTATCGGGAAGTACGAAATATGTTCTAATTGGATTAATACAGAGTGTAATGATATGGGTATAGACTTGTCGAAGATACAATGTGAAGAGGATCATGGTTGTAGTGTCGTAATGAGCAATGCTCTTTGATGTAGTAGGAACTCAGACTTCATCAACATTGAGGGACGTCCGATGAATTGAGAAATAAGCTTCAATAATATTCTGATTGATATAACAGTGTGTGTCTTGTGTGTTAAGTATACTATGAATAGGGGTAAAGACAACTATGGTAAGTTTTGAGATGACACATTTATAGGTAGGTAGTTAGGTAGACTTGGTTGAATAGAATAGCTATCATCTACGATAGAAAACTTCATTCTTACAGATCAACTAATAAGTAAACCTTTCGCACCTTAGTGTACTTAGCCTGGCTGAACACGGCCGATCTAAAGGTTACCTACCCCTTTTCACTCCCTAGACAGCCGTCTCCCCCTTTTCCTCCTCCCATGATCTAAGTCCTCTGGCTAAACTCTCCACTACGCTCTGTGCCCAATGTGCCGCTCCTCCAGACCGTCCGTTCCCAGCATCCTCCGCGAAACTAACCCTACCGCACCACCAGTCCAACCACGTCTCCGCACGGGCACCCTCAGGAGCATCTAGCAACCCAACACTTACATCAACGATGTCCGGGCGCCAGCGATCATGCCAAAAGACAGTAGCGCCGCAGCGCGGACAGAACTCGCGCAGAACACCAGAAGAGCTCTTATAGCTCCGCAGGATACCCTTAGGAAGAGCAGCGAAATCGAGCGGGACAAGCGTATCCTCAGACGTAGCAGCATCAGGGGAAGCAGTGCCGCAGAAGAAGAAGATATTGCATCTCGGTACGAACGCCCACGTCTGGACCTCGAACCCGGACGCCAGGCGACACGAGCGACAGGCGCAAGTACCCGCCAGATACCTCGTTGGACCCGCGGCGGAGTCCGGCGGTCGGAGCCACCATTTCTCGGTGTGCGGGTTGCTTACGACCTCGCGCGGCGAGGCGGCGAACGGGACCATCAGGTCCGGGAAGCCTGAGCGCGGGGCCCGGCTCGAGGCGTCGGGGCGCGTGATGCGGAACCGGTTTGTTCTGCAGTGGCAGCGGACCTCGAGGACGTTTTTCCCTTCCTGCGTTGCACTTATTGTAGGGGGTGGCGGTGCTTCGTCGGTGTGTCCGTAAACCCCTGGCTCGCGCGGCGCGGAGACGAGATTTATAAATGGAGATAGACCGCCGTCCTTGGTGCCGGCGACGTTCACGTGCCCGGCAAACTTGAAGAAAGGGAGTTCCTTCCCACCGTCTGCTTCCCCTGACTCCCGGTCCGCCCCTTCCTCAGTTCCAGCTCGTCCGATGATAGTGCCCGTAGCTACGGACCACAGTCTATCATCTCCTACAGCGTCGCCGGAAGAGCCTTGTTCTCGCTGGAAGATATGGCACCCGCAGGTGCCGCAGAAATATCGTCGGACATGTGCGGTTTCATCGGGGTTATGTACGAGACCATCGAGAGATTGCGGTGGCTGAATAGGAACGTACGAGGTGTATAGGAGACCGCTAGAATGACGGCACGCATAGCAATGGCAAAAAATGATATTCAGTTGTCTCGACGTCGCTTGTTCGTTCGGAAAACGCAAGGCAACTACCTGCTTTGCGGCGCCGCAGAGGCAAGATATCGAGACCTCGGGAACATTCAAGGACATTAGGGATAAGCTAAAGGTAGGTTGCTCACTTGGATATATGGCCTTGTTCTGTGAATTATTCAGTACCTAGTTATCAAGTAGTCTCCAAGGATCACAATTGGTAGTGTACATCGATGAACTTATTGGAAATGCAATCGGAGCATGCGTAGTACATATATCTTGATGCTAAGAGTCAGTTGCCGCGATTAGGAGCCAGAGTTGTAACCCACGCCCTGAGTATGGCGGAGCTTCGGCCCGTCGAATGCAAGCTATTGCAGTTGGAGAGGCCTGACAACCATTCTAGTTAAGATATCGCGATGTCGAAGTTTCGCATCACCTTGGCATTAGAAACACATGTCAAAATACTGAAGGCACGTATGAATAATGGAATCTTTTAGATTAAAGGAAACAGGCTGCGATCAGCAGGTGTAACTGACATAGTTTTGTCTTCGCAAAGCCATCACTCCGATACCCTCTTATTTTTCTCCTTGTTTGCATTCCACATTGCCCAAGTTTTTCCCCTCCGTGATCTTCATTAGTAACGGTGATATACATGGGTCTAGACACGCCGTCCAACCCGCCAGATGCTTTTAGCATTCAGAAACAAACACCAGTGGAGATTTTCTTCGTCAGGATTTGGTGACGCGATGGGGAAATCAAGTCAAAATTCGAAATTTAGACGATGGACCGGGGCGTTTAAACCGTCGCCTCATTGCCCTCGCTAGCCGGTTTAGGAACTGCCTGCTCTGCCTCCTTTTCGCCGTCTTTACTTGACGACGCTTCCTTGGGGATAGGGTCATCCTGAACTGACTTCTTGGTCTCCTGGTTAGCACCCTCAACATCAGGATGAGGTGGTGCTACGCCCGCGGCGGCCAACTCCTCTACCGGCACTTCTACTTCATTGCCATTGGCGTCTACTACGCGCGTTCTAGTCTCGTACTTGGTCTTGAATTCGACTTTGCCTTCGAGTGCCTTCACTTGTTCCTCGTTGAGAAGGTTGCCGTTCTGATCCCGGTATTCGACCCGTTCCTCCCGTCCAATGAACTTTTGACCCTGAGGCTCAAACTTGGGCGCTCCTGAGATGCCCGCTTCTGGAGAGTCTTGATTTGCAGCTACGGGTTGTTGGACCGGTGGCTTCTTGTTCTCTACAACGGCCTGGGGGGTTTGAGAGATCTTGCTCGGAATAGCGATTCCAGAGTATGCGTCGTACTATGAGAGCCATGTTAGCTTACTATTTTGACAAATCGCAAACCCTCCCTGAAACGCTTTATATCCATATTTATCGTTCAAAGAGGGGACCAAAACATACGAGCATCGCCGGGCTTTAACGCCCTCTGAGTGGCATGCCTTGGGGAGGGACACTTACGTTCTCTAAGAAAGTATTGCAATCCCAATCCCAGGTGCCGAATAACTTCACACGGTTACATTCACCCTTGGTCCAAGCGTTTCCATACGCAAGAGGCGAGTAGAGGGCAAAGACAACGGCAGAAATACCCAAGAGCGCAACCACACCGGCTTTGTTGACGACGGGGTTTTCTCTAACACCTGGGATCGGGATCCGAGCTGTCGCGAAGTCGTAGGTTTGGCAAAAGGCCATGATGGCGAAGATCAATGCAGGGAAATAGTGGTGCAAGAAGAGCTGACGCTGCATCAGGAAGAAGGGGAAGTAGTGGAAAGCCCATCCGAGGACTAAGGTTCCGATCTCATAATCAAATCGTTTGAATGTGGCGTTCGAGTAGTCATTACAGCTACGCTGCCATCGGAGAACCGCAATGCCCTTGAAGATCACGTAGATGACGACAGCAAGGGTCGAAGTGTACCAGATAATAGGATTGCCCATCAGGTAGATTTGGCGGTGCTCTTTGCCCCAGAAGTTGATACCGCGACGAAGGATAGGCCATGATTCAGGACGAGAGTCCCAGGCGTGAGACTCGACCAGGCCTGCGTTAGTTCTCCACATGACCTTCTGCAGTTCCCAGAATTTGCCAAAGAAGCCAGGGTTAATATAGTTGACCTTTTCGGCATTATCGGCAAGCTGGGGATGCGCGTTGGATTCTATGTACCACAAGCTGTTGGGAAGAGTACCACCCTTGGCGCAAGTGACTTCCTGCTGTTCAGAGGCCCACTCTGGCAACTTGACCTTGTGAGAGAAGAGCACGCAACCGGTCATAATATGAACGAGCCTGAACTTGGTCTGGATAGTACGAAGTCGTTCCTTGGAGACTGGCGTAAGAGACTGCTTTTTAGCAATCTCAACACGGAATAGATCATTGGCGTCGCCAGGGAACCCTTCATATCCATAGGCGGACACTTCGTTCTGCCAGTCGGCCTCGGAAACGGGTGGTCGAACATCGTGAGAGTGGAGGCGACGATGAGTGGCTAGATGGTACAATCGGATCACGTCGCCATCCTTGATGTAGTTCTCGGTAATGTTCTTCACATCATCCCAAGCGAACGTTCCGTTGATAGGTTCGCCGTTAGCGTCCAATGGCTGAGTCTGGTTCTCAAACAAGAATATGTTGTTCTCATCCTTGTGAGGATAGAGAGTGATTTGCTGCTGCTGACTGCCAGTGGGGTACATAAGGGGATGAGAATGGAGGTAGCCTCCTTGAGTATTGACGTGTCGTATAGCGACCCGGCTACCAAAAGCAACATCGACCGGCACATCTTGCATACCCTTGTTGTTCAACGTAGCCTGGAACTCGGAGCTCATAAATCCATCTCCGTCACCAGGGTTTACCAGGCAGAGGAAATGGATGGCAAACATGGCCATGTAGAAGGTAGCGGGGATGATGATCAAGCAGAAAGCGCGGGCCAAGAAATGTTTTGCGAAAATGCGCATAGTGACAGTCTTCGTGTCGCCAAGTAACACCCACAGCTGTACGAGGGTCAAAGATCCAACCCAGGCGATTGTGAAAAGGCCAACCCATTTGATGCTAACAGTGACTCCCATTCCCAAACCAGTCATGACAAGCCAGAACCACCAGCTAGCGTCGAATGCCTTGGAGGGACCTTGTTCATGCTGGTTGGTGAAGGAGGTGAAAGCGAGGGCGGTAAACGCAGTCGCGGCGACGAGAGGGGAGTCGAGTAGAATTAGGCGGGCCTGGGTAAGGAGACCATTTTCTATATTGCATGTAAGTAAATATCCGACACCAGGCGCATATAGATTAGGGGGAAATTACCAAAGATGATGAAAGCCGCACCAAGAGCGGCGGTGGCCGTACGACAGCCAGCAGCCTTCAGTGTTAAAAAGACAGTCGGGACCAAGAAAATACCACAGATAGCCGGGTACAATCGCATAGCTACATACGGAACACCAGGCTCGAGATAGTCTTTGCCAATTTCCTTGAAATCAAAGTCACCATTGAAACCAGCGAGCCATCCGAATAAAGTGATTAGAAGTTTGGCCAACGGGGGGTGGACATCCATGAAGAATTTGCCCTTGATGTATTTGCTCGCAAAACCGCCGAAGCTAGACACAAGATACAGTATTAGCATTGGCGACTATGATAGCTGCGGCTGAATAAGGATACTTACTGGACTTCATCGAAGACAACGCTGGACGGTTGGTAGATGCGGAACAGTCGCACAATAGCTCCAACGATAGTCAAAGCTAGCATAACCTGATAGTCAGAGATGGGTAGTAAGAAGATATCGTTATCTTCAACGCCTTCTGAGGTGTAGTCATCGTGATGCTTCTTGACTTCTTTCTTGGACTTCGGAGGTGCAAAGGATCCGCCTTTCATTGGAGGCGGTTTCGCCGAACTGGACCTCGCCATAATGGTTCGGTGTATGCAGAAGACGACTTCTGCACAAATCGACGATGGGGAATTGTTAATGTGGAAAAGTACGAAGGAAAAAGGAAGCGGTGTTCGTGGCCTCTTTGGTAGTCGCTCGCGCCGGGACTGAGCTCTGCGCTACGCTTGCACACGTATTACACCGGAGAAGGAAAATCAAGTGGGTAGTTTGATTAATGAAAGTCAAGAAGTAGAAGGGGTCATTACAAGAAGACAATAGGACAATGAAAACCCCATTCAAAGAGAATAGGATAATTAAGAGTCTTTCCCCCCTTTGGTCGTGAATGTAGTGGGATGGATGTGTAGGAAAAGGGCTGAAGGGGAGTATAGGATAAGGGGTGGTAGAATGGGAATGGTGAATACGGCGTCAGAAATTATTTTGAGCCTTTCTGCTCCAGGGCTGTTTCCAATGTTCTAAGAAGTACCTAGTCCTTCAGGTCCTTCCCAATGAATTGGTATTGGCCAATTAGGGATAAGCATCAAAATTCAGTTTGCAAGGGTCAACCGCGTAATCGTTTAGATGCTACAGTGGCCTTATCCAGTTCGGCGGATAGCCCTCAGATTAGCGCAGGGGGGTTTGGTTATGGGGTCTCTCTTTCTGCGTGTCTGGGGTCCAAAAAAAGATTCAGCTGCAACTGCCTCTGACAGTTGGCCCCATTTGATGAATTAATTCGCTACATGTACAAAGCCTCACGAAATAACACATTTTTATTGTACATAGGTACATACGACCTATTAATGCGAATCGAAGTTTGACAAGCCCCGCAATTCCGTAAATGATAAACACGAGATATGCCGTACGTGTATCGTGTAATAGCCTTTTACATACCTAAGTAGACTAGGTAGAGTGTTACTTTATGCTACCTTGATGAATTACATTGTTAGACAAAATCGTGCATGCTGCAATGGGCTACTTTCAAAATTGGTGTCCATAAAATATCATCCTCAATTACAATTGCAATTGTGAATTCTCCCCAGATACCAAGCTATCCAAGGTATCCCTGTATATTACGGATAAAAGACAACGGTGCCTGCCATCATTTAAAGTTAGAGTTCTTGGCGTCGATGCAAAGCCAGGCTTATTTGATTGGCTAAAGCTGCGGGTTATATATTAATCCGTTTACGGTGTACCCCGGACCACTGTAGAAACCGAACCTTGACGATATTTTGTCAGAGCTTCTTTACTGCAACATCATACATCTCAACCAATACTAGAGACTTTTTTTTTCGGTTCAGCCTCCACAATCGCGTTCACCCTCACACCCGCATCCACACCCATACAATTTCAAGGGAGGCTCTGAGACTGCCATCAATATGGCCGCGACTAATGGTGATGCAGCAGTTTTGGATGAAATTAAGCCCCCTCAGGGTATAGTCTTGCCACCCAGGGAATTCAGAAGTAAGTCGAAAATCAAGCATCATCACCTCCAAACTTGCGCTGAGCTAATTCATCTAGCTATCCTCGAGAAGACCGCCGGATTCGTCGCCCGAAATGGCCTCGCATTTGAAGATCGCATCCGAGAGAAAGAGAAACATAACCCGAAATTCAGTTTCCTTAGCAATGCCGATCCTTACAACCCTTTCTATCTGTGGAGATTGAGCGAGATCAGGGAAGGTCGCGGCACTGCTGTCGCTGCTGGCCGAGCAGGTGAAGCTGCTGCTGTTGTTGAGACGAAACCCGAGGGCCCTCCTAAGCCTCCTGACTTCCAATTCTCTGCGCGTATGCCCAACATCAGCGCCCAGGATCTCGAGGTCGTGAAGCTGACTGCTCTGTTTGTTGCAAAGAATGGCAGACAGTTCATGACCGCTCTCTCCCAACGGGAGGCTGGCAACTACCAGTTTGACTTTTTACGGCCCAACCACAGTCTTCACAATTTCTTCCAGCATTTGATCGATCAGTACTCCATGCTACTACGAGCCGGTGGAATTGATGGCGAAGGGGGAAAGGTCCAGCAGGAGAGGATCGCTGAATTACGCCGTAATGTCGATGACAAATTCCACATCCTAAACCGAGCCAAGCAAAGAGCAGAGTGGCTGAAGCATCAGGAGGATGAGAAGCAAAAGAAGGAAGAGGACGAGGAGAAGGAACGTTTATCGTACGCCCAGATCGATTGGCACGACTTTGTTGTTGTCGAGACAGTCGTCTTTACCGAGGCTGATGACCAAGCCAACCTACCCCCGCCAACCTCTCTTTCTGAACTACAATATGCTTCGCTTGAACAGAAGGCCAATATTTCCATCAGTGCTAACCTACGTATTGAGGAAGCTATGCCGACAGACGACGATAACGCATATACCGGATATGGGGTGCCGGCTAATTATAACCTTCCTCATCATCCTGCACAACCAGCCCAACCGCACCCGTCAGTCCCCACGCCTCCCCAAGCTGCCTATCAGATGGCTCCACCTCCACGCCCGAACGGTGTCCAGGAAGATGAGGAGGCACAACGGATACGCGAAAGAGAGGAGGCTCGAATGCGGATGCAACATGCGCAGGCTGAAGCAAAGGGTGGTGCTGCTCCTATGAAGATTAAAGAAAACTACGTTCCTCGTGCTGCTGCGCGAGCCGCTAATCGTCAAGGGACACAAATGGCTCTCTGCCCGAACTGTCACCAGCAAATTCCGATGAACGAGCTAGAGGCACATATGAGGATTGAGCTACTCGATCCCCAATGGAAAGAGCAGAAAGCGAAGGCCGAGTCTCGATATGCTACTACGAATTTGTCGCACTCCGACGTTGCTAACAACTTGAAACGATTCGCAAGCCAGAGAGGTGACTTGTTTGACGGCGTTACTGGGCAACCTATCACGGAGGAGGAAGCGGCGAGAAGGAAGCGGACAGCATTGAACAGCTTCGACGGCAATCCTGACCCCAGAAGCCAAGCACATATCAACCATATGCAGAGCGTGAATGTCGACGAACAGATCGCACGGATTCATCAGAGGTTTGCCAAGGATAATCAGGGTCACTAATTCTCAGTGACTAGATCGTCTTAGCTATGTTTTTAGGTGCTACGCGCAAGGAGCTATTTGTGGATGGGAGGTTACGAGCCGGGTATCATGCAGCACTGAGATAGGGTGAAACCTCTCCGTCGCTGATCCTTACAGAGCTTCTCTAGTCCCTCCTTTTGCCATCATCTTGCGCGTGTGGAGGCGAGGCAGGAATATGATAGGGGTTCTTTAAAAGCCGAACAGGTAAACAATACCCACGAAATTAGCTCGCCTTTATTTATCAAAATGCTCATACTTCAATACAGCTGTGTCCCGCAACCAAGTTTGCGTTGTGGTTTTTCCCAACGCATCAAGATTAGCTGTGCTACCTGTTGTGTATATGATGAGGCACACTCATGAAATTTATTTCCAAGATAAGTCACGTTGTAGAAATTTTGTATAATAAGGATGTTACGATTTTGTAAAATTAAGATATGGTTGCCTTACATACTGACAAGGGAACTCGCTGAGTGGCGTTGGGACGGGTTCAAAAAGGGGCGGGTACTATTCCTGTCTATAATTACCTACTACACAAATAGGCATATTTCTATCACGATGGGCATGAGGCATCACAATCTAAGTTAGCGGCGTAGTTCGATCTAATTCATATAACACGAAATAATCACAAAGTTGCAAGCTAAGCGTATGATCGCAAAGTGATTTGCTTCATTACACGATTCTTACAATGATCTACCGCGCAAAAAAATAGCTTAGGAGGGTAGATCGCCCTATCTACTCGACATCCTGCCCACTGTCAGATTCCTCATCCTCATCCTCATCCTCGTCGTCATCATCGGGGATCACGGTTTCCACTATAAGATTACCAGACCTCCCGATGGTACTTCCGAGCGTAGCAGTCTCGTCCGGCTCGTACACGACGCGCGGCATCGGCGCCGCGATCCGGAACTTGTACTCGTGGGTGTAGTCCTCGGGGCGCTCGCGGTCCGACTCCTCGCCGCTCTCCTTCTCGCGGTTGACCTCCTCGTCCGGGTCCGCCAGCAGCTCGTAGCACTCGACGAACGCGTACAGCTCCTCCACCGTCGTCGAGGCCGCGAACCGGCGCACCACCCTGCCCCCCGCGTTATCCGGCATCTTCAGCGCCAGCCGCACGACGTCCTTGGGGTTTGCGGTGGAGTCTGGTTCGGGCGCAATGGTGGTCGCGCGCCAGCGCCGCCACTGCTCGCGTTTCTGGGCTAGGCGCTCGGCGGCCTGGGCTTGCTCCCTCGCGCGCTGCTCGGCGAGCTTGGCTGCGGCCTCGGCTTCCTTGCGCTGGCGGGCGCGCTCCCTGTCGCGGGCGAGCGAGCGCTCGTACGCGTCGTCCTGCTCGGTGCGCAGGTTGCGTGCGAGATCTTGGGCGGCGCGGTCGGCGCGCACGCTGGCCAGGTCCGGGGCGTACTTGTTGATGGCGGTCTGGATCTCGGCCAGGTAGGTCTGCGGGGACATGGGGCCGACGAGGCGCTTCACGATGCTCATGCGGGTGCTGCCCTCTTTAGGGGTCAGGCACACGAGGCACGAGAAGGGGAACTTGGTGCAGTTGTACTCGGCGGCGACTTGGTAGGCCTCGGAGTCGAGGACGTTGCCGCCCCATAAAACGATGTTGTTGGCGGGGTCGTTGATGAAGTTTACGGTTTCCGGCGAGAGGAGGGTCTCCCGCGTGTAGGATTCCGTGTCGTCGTGCTCGGGCGACATGAGCACGATGAGCAGGAATTTGAGTTCTGATTTGGCAAGGTCGAGGGCTTGGGCGAAGCCGCCCTCGTGCCAGGGCAGGCTAGTGTTGCCGTACTCCTCCTCGAACTCGCGCTTGAACCGGGCGGCGGTGTCCCGCGGCATGAGCATGCGCCGCCCCATCGTGCCTTTCCATCCGCTTGTCATGCTTGTCGTTATCGCCCGTGGCCGTACGGACGCTGGCAGGAATGCGAATATGTATAGGAATGTGCGGAAGAGCGTCGAAACGGCTCTGAACCCGAGGGTGAAGGGCGAGAATATTATAGAGAAGAGGAATGGCGTGCGGTGGGTTGTCTGAGGCTGCGGTACGATTCTCGGGGCAGGATCTGGCCTAGCTCGTGGCAACGCACGTCCGCCAGGCCGCGAGGACGCCATGAAGCTTTCTTGTAGATTCTCGTGCCTTGCCGCCTGCCGCGGAATATGGTTTTGTGCCTCGATGGCTTCGGCCACAGGATCGGGGCCTTCGCCATCGAAGAATTTGGATATTGCTATTTGGACATTCCATTGTGATCTTTCCAGTAAGGGCACCGCATCCTTAATATCCTGTGCCGTAACTTGTGTGTATTGTTCCAGAGCAGACTGCTGCTCGGCGGAGAGCTGACTTAGGTCGACGCCGTTATCTGCCATCTTGTAAAGTGCACGGCCGACGGTTGGAAAAGAGTGTGTAGCTTGATTTCAAGATTCCTCCATACGTCATATGATCAAGGTGATTGTAGAATAATACCATTACTAGGGCCTGTCGTATAAGAGCTAGCTAGCTGTCTAGGACAGCTCCGAACCAGGATATGTAATTCCGGATTCAGCCTCGGAGGTGAGATCGAGTCGAATATTACGTAGGACTTTCTTGCCCCAACAGGGTTCGCGGGCTGTACCGGAGAGGCTGTGAAATATGTACTATTAATTGCAGTATGTAGGTACAGTCGAAAGACAGGTGAGGCTAAGTGACGTCTAATAGGAAGATAAGAAGCTGGTGAGGCTTTCGTGTTCAAATGTTGGTGGACCCACCTGATAGAATGGAATGATGGTGGATGGAGGATGGCAGATAAATGAATTGCATAAGTTTAGCTGCACTGCTGCATCGGAGGTGACGACAAGGCAGCCGGACAATGTAAGATTTAGTGGCCGACCCAGTCCGGATTGATAAATTTGGGCAACTATTTAATTATAATTAACTGTAAAGTTGGGGAAATGTGTTCGGGCTTTACCTTATTTATATTAGTGCATTGTATGCATCGTAGAAATACGCGGTACCGACTCTAGGAGCTAATCCTAAGATAGTTAGTGTGAAGCTCTCAACATACTGCAAAGGGCTTAGCGTCCTCCACAACCACAAATCGAAACCCAAGGCTGAGAAGGAGGGACGTCTTGGCGTTAAATACAGGATTATCGAGGACCAATCAGCCAGTTTATCCTTTCTTAGTAATCCGCCGCCGTCATCCCACTACACAGTACAACCTCCAGTCGGTTGAACCTTGACACGCCGCATCCTTTCTTTATGTCCTTATCGCCAGCCTCACCCTCACTTTGCACATAGACCTCCCAATTGATACACAGAACTTGGATTTTATCATCTATACACTTTTGCTGCGCGTCATACCGAATTTTACGGGCGAACCCTCGCCCCTTCTGGTTAGAAAAATGGGAGCGCTTTGAGGTGTTCGGTAGGTGCAATTCGCATATCCCTTCCGATCTCTTCTTTGCCCTTTCTCTACCCTTTCTCCTTCCCCTGGTGATTTAGCTAGGTTCAATGTTGTTAACTTGATCTTGTTCTTCTAGGAGTCGTATCGAAAAGGGCGACATTTCCTCTCCTCTCAGTTTAACACCCTGGCAATCGCGACTACTCCATGACGAGAATACGAGATCTCACACCACACATTGCAAATGGCGAACACGCGCTTTAGCACGGCCGATAGAGGGAGGCAGATGGCCTCCCCCAGACCTAAGACGCGCGGTAAGCGCTTGCCCCATGGTCGTGGTTGTCGACGAGACTATGGTGAACATATCTAATGCCTGCACACCTTCTTAGATAACAAGGACACGCTCTGTCGAAACGTGTTGATCTATGGCCACTGCCGTTATGAGGACCAGGGCTGCACCTTCAATCATGATAAAGGATCTTCTAACTCAATGGACAAGTAAGTCATTCCAATTTGCTATGCTTTGTTTCATTGCTGCTTCGCGTTCCGTCCGACGAAAACCCTTGGCTGGCCCGTATGCTATGATACCATGCGAGCTTCCCATAAGACACCCACGGCAACCTATATAGAATTAAAGGGCCGGCGATCGACTAGAACACATAGCAACATTAATCAATACATTGGCCGTACATTGGCCGTTGGATGCCCAAAGCAATTTGATACCGCTTAGTGGATATTGTCGAGTCCTATTCAGCCATCTACAAGACTATTAGGCGGAGAATCCTGGTTCTCTCGAAATATTTTAACGATGCTGCGCAAGAAGGGCAGAAACCGCAAGGTAGAGGAGGTGAACGGATCAGATGAAATGCGCAAGGACATAGACGTTGATTCCATGGTGGAGTTCCCTCCTTTGCAATCAAGAAATGGAGGTCCATTTCCAGGGCACCAACATCGTGTGGCTTCTATGCCAACATTCCTCGGTTCTTCTCAATTGGCTCCTGAGCAGACAGCCCCGCCTTCTCCTTCTCCCGCGGCCTGCTCGCCAACTAGAAGCCATTCATTTGATGAACTGAGCTATGGCGAATCAGACTCGCATTCACTGCCTAGCTCTGGCACACAAAGCTTTGAGACCGCTCGTACCCATGCTTCTACTGCTTCTCACGGATACCAACAATTCAACACCTCTCCTACTCGTTCAAGTTCAGCACCCATTTCAACTCGGATCACCGTTCAGCTACCAAATGAAGACAGCCACGCCGCTATCCAGCACCCAGCTCCGGGGGGCTCTCAGAAGGGTCACAAGCCATTTCATAGCGACGGAGCCAGCCAAAATACGCCTTCCAACTATAGTCATTCTCATGTTACATCACACGACAGGGTTACTAATCGATCTACTAGTGGTAGCGCAAAGAAATCTCTAAATGTCGAATCTCCCTCGTTCACTCCTACTCAGCTTGGGGGTAAGAAATCCAACTTTTCGACAAATGCCACCCCATTCACACCTAGGGGAGCCTCTGCATGTAAGGAAGCCTAAACACCAATCCCCGCCATATATGCGCTTTTACTGACCATGGCCACAACCTCAGCCTTGCAGCAAGATACTGGAGCCTCCCTTTACAAATCAGCACCATTTGCGGATTTCGCTCCCCAGAACTACGATTTGAATACTGCGGTAAGTTCAGGAGAGGTTATTTGAAGATCGATACTGATAAGGTCCAGACCGCAACCAACGGTTCAACAGATAGTGGATCCCTCAGTTACGATCCATTTACTATGTCTGCTGTTAACCAGGCGCTTCCAACGGCGCCATATAATCCTTACGCCGAGGATCACAGTGCCTTAGCCGGAGCTGGTGCTCCTTACTACGCGGCTCAGACTTCTTACACGGCTCCGTCTCAGCCCGTAAGTTCTCAATTCCCATATTGTTTATCCTGAAATGCAATCTGATTACCCTTAGCTTCAATACCATCTTTATTATCCTATCACGTCAGGAAGGGAAAATCTGCAGCCCTACCAAAGACAAGTATACGACCTGTTTCTTCCCGATTCTATCAGAGAGGACCTCCAGAAAAAGTCCGAGGCCGCGAGACAGGTGCTCCCGAGCCAGCCTGGAGTGCAGTTGCCCACTCTCCAGCATTATCATTCCCTTGTACCTTTGGATACTAAACTCCGGAGTGCGACCAATATCTTAGGGCTTCCGAGCTGGGTATTCAAGGCAACTTCTCGCAAAAATGGGAATATATTCTGCTTAAGGCGAATCGAAGGTCTGTCTCCACGTTTAGTCAACCAAGCGCCCTACTGAACTGATAACAGGATTCCGCCTCACTAATGAGGAAGCAATCAAAGCTGTGAATTCGTGGAAGAAGATTATACATCCAAACATAGTTACAACGATCGAAGCATTCACGACAAGGGACTTTAATGATAGCTCACTCGTGTTTGTCCACAGTTATCACCCTCTTTCGAAGACATTAGCGGAGCACCACTTCCCCAGCAACCGCTTTGGTCGTCCCCAACCCATTGCAGAGAAGATACTGTGGAGCTATCTAGTTCAGCTTGCGAGTGCTATAAAGGCTATCCATAAAGCCAAACTCGCAGCGCGCTGCATTGACCTCAGCAAGGTGATCCTGACGGACAAGAATCGCATTAGGCTCAGTTCATGCTCCATTCTAGATGTACTCCATTTTGAAGTACCTCGCCGAGTTGAGGAATTACAACAAGAGGATTTCTTTAACCTGGGTCGACTCATCTTGAGCCTGGCGACCAATACGCCGATTAGAAACCTCGGTGATCTACGCTTGCCTTTGGACCAATTATCTAGGACTTACTCGCCTGAACTCAAAGAAAAGATATCGTGGCTACTTAGCCCACCACAGAACATAGCGGAAAAGACAGCAGAGCATTTGGTGTATGACCTTGCTCAGCATGCTGATGATGTTCTAGTAGCATCATTCAATGCTCAAGACGAGACAGTTACTCACTTAGGCAGGGAACTCGAAAATGGTCGATTAGTACGACTAATGGCGAAGCTAGGCTCTATCAACGAACGACCGGAGTTTGACAACGACCCTAACTGGGCCGAAAACTCGGAACGTTACACCTTGAAGCTATTCCGAGACTTCGTCTTTCACCAGGTCGACGCCCAAGGAAACCCAGTTATCGATCTTGGGCATATCATTAGCTGCCTGAATAAGCTAGACGCCGGTGTTGACGAAAGGATTTATCTAACCAGTCGGGACCACCAATCGACTTTTGTGGTCTCCTATAAGGAATTGAAGAAACAAGCCCAGAGCGCATTTAACGACCTGTTCAAGGCAAGCAACAAACAGCAGGCCAGCCGAGGCTACTAGAACCAGACACGTGCGGGCCGCAATTCATGGTCAGCAGAAGATCTTACGAGATCAAAAACTCACTATCCAACGAATTATCTAACGAGAGGGGTTAGACGTTATTTTAGGGGGCCTGTGTGGTGAAGTAGGAGCTTAGGACATACGATGGAATTCTGAATGCAGAAGAGTCTTACGGAAACGGGCAAAGAGTTTCGCAAGGATATTGGAAATAGCACACGATGGAAAGGGGCGTTGGACGAGTCCAATCCAAAGCAGGTCTCGTTAGAACGCTCAACGATGAAATAGCCACCGGGATGAACCATTGGCTCAAATCTCAACCGCGAGGGTTATAACATGACCAGCAAGAAGTACAGCTAGTCACTTCCCCCCTTTTTTCCCCAGCCGCAGATAATGAAACGAAGGATTACTACCAACAGATGAGATGATATGCTACATTGGGCTATATTCGGATGTGTCACTTTATTGAATACTCCGGCATAAAAGAGTTTGCATTAAGGCAATCCTCTCTTCAGGAGTTATATCCTGCTACTGTTGCCAGCAGGAACATGTTTGGCTGGGCTAGGAGAAGGGTGACGAAGCAGTTTTGTTTTTAGCATTGTCGAACGAAGAACGGGGTTTGAGAGTATGGGCGGAGTGACGTTGTGGATGACTAAATATCTCGAGAAGTATAAAGTAGAATACAAGCAAAGTTTCTTACTGTTCATCATCTGCACTGTCTAAGCATGGCTTTGTAGATAAGCAATGGATGTGATATTATGATTGACTGCCTACCTGCCTACTTATGCTCGTGCTGAAGTTAGTAACTTGTATATTTTCACATTCGAAATATAGCATATCCGTCATCAGAGGTTGGTTTATTCTCATTTCCTACCTAATAGGCAATCACGCAGTAACTTATCTGCTAACGACCCCCTTCTGTTTGTGGGTCATTCATAATAGGAATGAGATACCCATCTGCTTCCCGCGCTGTAACCCTATTCAACTTGACGTCTAGTTTATGTATCGGTTAAGCTGGTTTCTAGATGCCTCTTCTCATAACAAGGCTTGGGGGTATGTTTAGCAATCCGACAGGTTCTCATCACCCTGGTCTCCTTGGGGATGACTTATCCTCTTAAACCTCAATCTTCCGATTGTTGGGCGAAGGGATTCTCAATCTCCTCACTGCCATCTACTGGGCTGATGACTACTAGCAGAGTGCCTCGGGCGACCACCAGACCAAGTGAACGGGTCGCTTCCTTGCCCTCGTCGTCTATAAGGGTATATGTTAGTCCCTTCCGATGTATGCCGGACGACTAGAAAGCTAACTAACCTCGCATGACTTCTTGCACCTCGTCAAGAACCAAATTCATAAGCGCATCATAACCCTTCAGTGTGCCGGTAACTAGACGCCAATGTCAAGGTTAGCCTCGGTCCGTTACTACCCCCAACTCGACGACATGCAGGGCGGCGCGTGACTGGATGATGCAAAGCGGGATGGGAGGGGGAATAGGAAAGATCTGCGGGGGTTTTACCTTCTCGCCCGCCATTGAATTTAACCGTGATCCTCTTGTCGACGTATTTACTAAGGTCTAGGATGTTCTCCTTCTTGGGCCGCTCCCGCTCCTGGGATGCGCCGCCGCCGCTAGCGCCCGAGTCAGCTCCGTGTCCGCCTCTCCCGCCGCCTCGGCCGCCCCGCGCTCCGCGGGCGTGTCCGCCGCCTCCTCGGCCGCCGCGGTAGTGGGCACGGTCGGCCATCTTTACAATCAAGGTTGCCGTTGGGGGTGGGTAAATACGTTAGGGAGATTCCCCCTCTAAGGTAAGGATATAAAATTCGATGTGTACTTGCGAAGCAAGAGAGGGGGCGGGTTTCTCTTCTTGGTCTGGGGGTGGCAGAAGGCCGAAAAAGATGCGGTGAAGGGGGGAGGAAAGGACGGGACGAGCCAGGTAATTCGCCCTTGGAGCTAGTTTCGGAAGCTGGAGGGAGATGCAGAGATAGGGGGTTGCGGCGGTCTAGGCCGTTCGGTGACGAATCGGTGTCGCAGGCTAGCACGGCTACCGTTGCAACGGGGAGGTGTTGAGATTGGGAGGTTATCGTCGGGCGTTTGCGAAAACCTTGCAAATGATTCGGTCCGGGACTCTCGTCTACTCGTCGGCTAACTGTAGGAGTCGTAGGAGCTGTAACGAGGCGTCTTCAGATCAGATTCCCCGTGATTGATTTTCTCTCGTAGAAGGTATGCCGGGCGGGAACTGTGTGGCAGTTGGCAGGGCCAGGTGATTATGTTGCTGTCTGCCACTTTGCAGTCTGCCGTCGATCATAGCATTGATATGGGGAGAAAGTTGATTGCTTTTTTTGCGCTGTCGCTTTTGACTGGCCCAAGAGTCCCGAATAAGTGGGACGCCCCGAGAATTGATCTACCCCACTACTTCCTCGTAACCTTGAACTGCAAATGTTGTTCTTTCGTACCTACCTTCAAACAACTTGGAACTTTAAATAAGTACCTATGTACCAATCTGAATATGGCCGCTTTTAGCCTGAGCTGCCACTTCCTATAAACGATTTCCTATACATACTAAGGTGGTATACGTATACCACATCAACGCCCGCGCGTCTATAGTGGCTGCCGGCCGTAAGAAACGGATTTCATACCCCGTTAACCATTCCGCCATGTCGTCTTGGGAATAAGTCTGCCCCCCTATTCCACCCTCTATCGCTACTAGTAGATTAACCAAATATTTCAATATTCTTCCCAGCATAGTACGGCGTGATACGTAGACGTTAGGAGACCTAAACATGTTCTATATTCTGTTCTCTTGTCTCGTCGTTCTGCTGTTCTGCTGATCTGCTGATCTTCGGTGAACAACGCTAACTTGAGAATATGAGGTCCGCCGTCATGTCGAGTCGGTTCTTGTCGCCAATTCTCTCAGAAAGGCAAGCATCAAGTGGAAGGGGCAAAATAGAGTCCTGGTAGCGAGTACGACTACCCGGGTCAAACCGAAATGCACGAATCACCGAAGATTGCGGAAGAGTCCGGGATGAGGAAGGGATTCCCGGGGAGGAGAACTGATGCGAGCTTCCTTTCTCTACGTGGAGCACTATGCTTCCTGAGCTACAATTCCGAGCTACGACAGAGATTTCAATGTATTCCGCAGCTCCTCTGTCTATTATTCTCCCGGACCCCCTCCGCTCGTGGGCACTTTGGTGACATCAGCTAGCTACCCGCGACGACCGAACCTTGACTTCAACCCTGTTATACAGGCATCGGGGAGGCAGGGCCTAGCCCCATGGGTATCCGCAAGAACAAGGTAACTAGGGCTTATGATGGACTTATGAGATAGTTTTTGCGATGCTTTCGTTGGAGCTTTCAGAATGTGATTTGTTATATGGGAGGTCATGTGGACTCCAGCATCTGATCCCATATTTTGTTGAAAATCATGCGCTGCCGTAATTTCTTCGTGGGTGAGTAGTATATCAGCGGTTCGGACATGGCATACCGAGGTGGTAACGTATTGTGAGTAGGTACTTTATGTACTTTATTTGATGCTAAGTCCGCCTAAAAATACGTGCATATTAGAGGTGAATACGTAAGGAAACTAGTCACCCCATAAGCATGATATATCGTGTTCGACTATATCCTCTCCACGCCATTGGACAAACCGCATAAAGTCTGTATACTCGGTCAAACGGTTATTGCTCACCGGTCTACCGTTTTCCCTGCAGAAATTGTGCAACCCTCGTAACTTGACTGATAATAAGTAGCCCTAAGTAAGAGCGGCACGGACGCTAGGCCCGATACTGCTTAAGCGCCCCGCGGCAAGGCTACTCTCTAATTTACCTAAGGCTGTAAAAAGGTCCCTTAGGAGGGGCAGAGAAAGGCGAGGCAAGGTCTTGGTCTTTTTTTCTGGGCTGTTGTTCTGGAACGCTTCTGTCTTGGTCTGTGCCGTGTCAAGGGGCTCAGGGGGGGCTTGGGTGGCTTGCTCGCTTTGGCTAGGGCTGCTTATGGAGGGGCTTTCGAAAGCATTTTAAGGGAACCCGACGGAGTACTAGCGGCCTGTACGCGGCATCCAGGTAGCGTACTGCAACCGTAGGGATACATCATGGATGCTCGGTAGGGTCTTTATCTACTCTAGCGGCTCTCAGGGATTGCAGCTGCAGAGTATGATAATCGGACATATCACATTCCTGCACCTGAAGCTTGCAATATACGTACATACGTACACTTCATTTGTACCGGTAATAGCTGACTATTGGATGCGGGGGACATGGCTAATGATGGCGAAAGAAGGGAAAGAAAAAAGAAAAATAATCAAAAAGTAAGAATTAAGTAGCAAATTTTGTTAATAAATACGCCGACTTTCGGCAGTGAACCTTCGGCCTGTTCATCGCACACATCGTCGTTGAAGCATGCTTACCTAGGTGGGCATTTCTCATAATCGTCTCCTTTTGGTGAAACGCCGATGTGAGAAACATCGATGTGAGACCCTGAGCTGAGAAGACCCCGAACGACATTCCTCCAAGATCGCGGTCATCCAAGACTTCTATCGAGCCTAGCAATGCACCTCAAGCCCGTCACCATAGGTGGGTTTCAACGCCAAGCAGGAGTGGCTCGTCGATCTTTTTCTTCTTCTGTGCGGCGGCATGGGATCACATAATCGGGAAACCCTCACAGCGGAATTCAGCGCGGATGATCTTCTCCTGGATGTGGCTAGGACCAGGGAATTGTGAAGGGTCCCAGGTCCGAGCCTGGTGAGGGCAATGTGAAGAGATCGACAGAAGGGAACAGAGGAAGAGACTGGAGAACTTCGGTCTCTTTTCCGTGACACACGCACATGTGGCCAACCGAGACGTTTTATCACTTTTAGAGGTGACGGCGCAGACCAAATATGTTGAGGTATGTGAGTAACCTACTTCATTGGACGAATCTGAGGTGCCTAGAAAAAGTAGGATTGGATATCGAAGTAAAGATGTCGATGTTGATATAGCATACTAATACTTTGCAGGTAAAAACGTACTTGCTTACCTATATCAATGATAGTCGGAAAGTCAATTGTTGGTTTGTGCTTCTTTTTTTTTACCTTGACTCAATTGGTTTAGTGAGTAGCTTAAAAAGTTCTTGAAAACACGAGTTAGAAGTTACATACTTACTATCGGGTGTTATTACCTAAACCACATAGGAAAGCGCCAACCCACTTCGCCAATTCCAATTCCTAGCAAACTGTTGCCCGTATATCTTTTAGCTTTGGTCTGTGGCCAGTTTTTTCTCACTTCAACGTGCCGCTTTGAGAAAGAGAGAACTTTCTCTTCACTTTTTATACCTATACCTATACCCTTACCCTCACATTCTTATTATACCCATACTTAATCGACTCGGTTATCGTTCCGTACTTTACTGAGATATCCAATGTTTAGTGTAAGTACAGTATTCGAGCCCCGCGCCTAATCGATCCAACCCCGGTTTCCGAATTCCCTGTCTTGTCCACTTTCTGCGCATTGAGGTCTGCTAGGTCACCTACACGGTAGTTTACTCCGTATTTTCTATTTGCGTCGAGGCTGTACTCTGGCCGAGTATCATCAAACTCACCTGCTTACTTTAACACACGCGTATATCCATAAATTCATACATACATCCATACGCACCTGTCTACTACCCTTCTCTTCTCTCTTCATTTCATTCTATTCGTTCATTCGTTCATTCTGACCGGTTCCCCCTTATCTAAAGTTACTTTCTCCATACGAGGGTTAATTCCTATGACGACCGCCGAGCTCAAAACAGCCCAGAAGCTCGGCAGGCCCAACCTCGCAACCTGCGTCCCGTTTCCGGGCTTTTCGCAATTCTCGGCCTATCCGTAGCCTGGAACATTAATTCGTAATAAAGCCTCCTCTCGCCGTTTGTTGCCCTTATAGTATATTTCTTTCTCAAACCCCCAGAATCTGAGACGGGAATAGCAGTATCAAGCGAGTCCCCGCTCGTTCTGCGTTATACTTGCACATGTTAGCCTTTGTTTGCTATCGACGGGATTAATTGGGCGGGACAGTCGGTTATTTTGGAGCAGCTACGGCTGCTGAACACTTTGTATATCAAGACTCCCACAAGAGTTTAAAAGAGGCCTTCGTAAACCTCCAAAGTGTGAGATGTGCCAGTATGGCACACAATCCAGAATCTGATCAACATAAACGAAAACGAGATATCTCCGATGACAATGCTGACCGCATACCACAACCTCCTCCGCCTCAGCCAGGTAAGTCCTGCCCACCCGCATGCTCTCTCACTTACACACACCTGCATCCCCATAGGTAACCGCTGCTTGGGAGACTATGTCACGATTCCGGCATATCTCGTTTCATATGTAACATTGGCTCACTATCTCCGTGTCGCTAGTGTGTCCTATCATGAAACCTTTTCTTTTTTTACATGTACCATATCTCCACTCCCATTACGATACTTTTTCCTCATAAAAACTATCTATCAAATATTTCCGGTCATAATCCGAGTGTATCTATGTGTTCCAAGTTGAAGTACTGACGGGCCAATTTCCCAAGGCAACATAGCCCCTATAAACTATTTGTCTAAAGCCCATCCGGTGAAGCTCAAACTCATCCAGGGCGATAGCGAAACATTTTCAGATGTCCTTGCTCTAGTCAATGAATATGAGGGTGAGAAATTGCTCCATTTCACTACATATTTTTATAGATTCAGATACTAATACAACGATCAGGGGTGTTAAATAGACATGAGAGTCTCGCTGCTAATTTAGGCGCAAAGCTAACGGGCAGTCGCTTGCTGAAGGCGATGGAAGGAGCTTTTGAGGGTTCAATAACGACAACTCCTCCACAGACAATATTTAGTCCGGATCCCGTCACATGGCTCGACATTGTCGAGTTTGCCAAAGCAAAGCCAGGAGAATTCGTGTTGACACCTTCTCCTAGCGGCATACGTTGCTGTCAATTTCCCTTGAAGGGTGTCCAGGTCGAAATTGGAGAAGACGACTGGAGACTCATAGTTTCCGGCGCCCTGGACAGATTTAGGCTTGTACCACCACAGCCATTAGAGGAAGATGAAACGGCAGAGTTAGCGACGCTCGAGATCGTTGAACAGCGTCTACAGGTCTTAATCAAGAAAGCAGACGAAGTGGCGCGTAGGGCCCGCCAACTCAACTACCACTTGATCGGACGAAAGGCATCTATACACACGCGTCGCGCATCGCAATCAGCCCCTGGTCCTGGCTTTCAAGCTGTGAATCAGTCAATGGGTTCCGGTGCTAATCCGGGTTACGACCTGCATGCTGATCTTCTTCAACAGTTCCAGGCGCCCCCACAATCATCTAGCCACCGGATTTCTTCCGCCAGCTCTATCCCACCAACGCCGAATGCCATTGGGACTTCCACATCAACGCCGCGAGCCCCGATACAGCAACAAGCGTTACTAGGAAGCAACCGGCCATCCCCTGGTTATTCCGCTGAACCAGCAGTGAGAGATATCGAAGAAGAGAACCGTGCCTTGGTCACAGCCAAAATTGAGAAACTAGCACGTGGTGACTTTATACATCCACCATGTGATAGATGTCGAAGACTCAAAACACAGTGCATCAAACATTTAACCGCTTGCCAGGGATGTACGAAAAAACATGCCAGGTGCGTATGGAAAGGATTGACGGAAGAGGAGGTGGCATGGCTCAAAGGAGAAGCAAGCGGGGAAGGAGATGACGACGGAGACGATCCAAGGGATATTAGCAGAACCGGGTTTGGACCTCAACCTCATCCAGAATTCGGCGAACATCGAAGAGAATCTGAACGTAGCGAAGAACCTAGCTCAAGCCGACCCGGGTCGAGGATAGCGATTGGTAGGCCTGCCGACGACGTGTGGCGCAAGGGACCGGATACGTCAATGAGTAGTAGGCATGATTCAATGGAAATAGATCCGAGAGATATCCGACAGGGACAAGAATATGCAAGAAAGGAGACGCCGAGTGGAACCTTTAGGGAACAGAAGTCAATACTTAGCCATATGGCTTCGGTGGCTTCGGCAGCGGCAGATGCTGCTGCGATCTCGCGAGGAAGCTGACGCATTTCAAATGAATGATATGAAACAATGCTTATGGATATATTAGTGTGTACATAGAGGTGGGGAATCTGTCTACATGTATGCAGATTTATTACAGAGCAACTGGTATACAGTACAGATTCCGAATTTTGGAAGGCAAGTTATATGGCCGACAATGCGGTCGCCGGGCCTATCTGGTAAGAATTTCTAATATGGTCATTCAAACCAGAGAAGAAATTGAAAATGGATCGAAATATAGAAATTCTGATAACACAATTGGGATGATGCTGGTGTAAGTTTAAGACATTGAAGCATTGAAGCATAGCTTAATGTCTTAGATACAGCGTATCTAAACCCCCTGCCCCTCTGGTCCTATTTGGCGCGACCTGGTGCCTGCCACTGCTGCGTCTGGCATCTGCGTCCCCCAACTTGAAAAATTCCCGATTACCAGGCTCATGGGTACCTGGTAGGTAATATGAGCCACAGCTAGATGGACCCACTTAACAAGTCTCGGGAAGCGCGCTAGCTTTGACGCGACGAACATCAATTAAAAAAAAATTAGCGAAAAATGTGGCGTCGTTTGATCCACTAAAAAAGTTAAAAAGTTATTCGATTCATCTTTTCAACGACGTAATTAACAAACGCACAGCAACCTGCCTTTTCACATGAACGAATAGAGCTAAACGAGTTCTCTACACCACCAAGCAACTATTAAGTTGTTCTTGGAGGTAGCCGCATCGAGCATCGAGTCCATGAATGGAGTTCCGATAACCTTACGGAATATCCTTGTCACATTTTCTCTACCGATCAATCCGACGAGGGGTCACAATCTACGAAAAGGGCCGCCATGGCTCAGCCATCTTCTCATGCGACTTATACAATGAACAACCCCAGAGAACGCCGTGAAGGAAGAATGCCGACTCCACAACAATCGCCGTTGCCCCAGTCGCGCGAGCTTGGCCTTGTTTCGCCTGAGATAACAGTCACGAAACAATCGCCATTTGCCAAATCTTGGCCCCACCTTGTCGCCGGAGGGTATGTCTCTTCGAGATTCGTATTTCCTGTCTCTAAAGCGTATTCCTTTCTAAGTAGGAAAAGGATCATTAGAGAAAGGGTGAATATGGGGCTTGCGCTAACCCTGCCTCTTTCCATAGCGTCGGAGGCATGACCGCAGCTGTCCTAACCGCACCACTCGACGTGCTAAAAACCAGACTTCAATCCGACTTCTACCAGGCCCAGCTCCGGGCGGCGCGGGAGGCGGCAGGCCAGGCACGGCTTAGCCCCTTGAAGTCCGCCTCTTATCACCTCCAGGAAACAATACAGATCCTGCGCGACGTACATCGGCTAGAGGGATGGCGCGCGCTGTTTAAAGGCTTGGGACCTAACCTTGTTGGCGTGGTTCCGGCACGGAGCATCAACTTCTATGCCTATGGCACAGGCAAGCGCGCGTACTCTCAATGGACGGGGGCGTCGCCGGAAAACCCGATAGTGCATTTAGCCAGCGCGGTAACGGCGGGAATAGCGACAGGCACAGCGACGAACCCCATATGGCTGGTGAAGACGCGGTTGCAGCTTGACAAGAATAACGCCGAGCGCAAGGGCGATGTGAGCGCGCGGCGGTACAGGAATAGCTGGGATTGCATCAAGCAGGTTCTGCGGGACGAGGGCCCGCGTGGTTTCTTCAAGGGCCTTAGCGCGAGTTACCTGGGCGTTACCGAAAGCACGTTGCAGTGGATGATGTATGAGGAGCTCAAAAGTCAATTGAGGCGGCGGAAGGAGAGGGTTGAGAAGAGCGGCAGGGAGAAGACTTGGTGGGACCATACTGTCGATTGGACGGGGAATTTTATGGGTGCTGGAGCGGCCAAGGGAATTGCGTCTATCTTGACATATCCACATGAGGTGAGTGCTTTGAGGTTCCTCTGTGCCATGATTCAGGGGTGTGCGGTTCTTTAGAAGAGTAGGCTAACAGGTGGCTAGGTTGCGCGCACACGTCTAAGACAAGCCCCGATGGCGGACGGCCGGCGCAAGTATACGGGCCTGGTACACTGCTTCAAACTCGTATGGAAGGAGGAGGGCTTCCTCGGGTTATATGGTGGCTTGACCCCCCATCTGATGCGCACAATTCCTTCTGCCGCGATTATGTTCGGCATGTACGAAGGCATCCTCAAGCTTCTTGGTGCGAAGAGCTAGACGGACAACAGCCATAACCCGTGCAATTCTCCCCTCTTCGAATCCGGTGACTATAACACCAATGAATAAGCGCATAGGCGCCTATGACGACCGTGTAATGATACTTACTTGAGACATGAGGGCGGAAAGGGAAAAAATATACTGCTAGATAGGCGGACTATCTTACTGCGTTTGGGCCTGGTCTGGAGAAGCCAAGGGTTACAAGTACCGATAAGGGTAGTTGGTTGGTTCTAAGTATCTGGGGTTTTCCCTGACGCGCATATGGAGGCATTGTGCGGAAATCATACCACTACCACTGTATACCACAAAAAACGAAGGAGAAATATAGAGGCTAGGCTAGGCTTGGGACTATATAGAATTGGGAGGGCATGACTAATGCCGGGTTGCTATTATCTTGAATGGCTAATAAGCTCGCTTTAAAGAAATGTCCTCGGCAGGCTAGCTTAATAACTACTGCATGATCTACTTGCATATGGGGCACATAGGTCAGGTGCTTACGACATCCGGCGTTTGGGAGATTAACTGATAAAATGGGGAGATGGATTGTGAGATGCAATACGAAATGATTCCGCTCATCTATCTATCTTTTGAGCCTATGTATGCGTGTAATGCTCGTTCATATAGGGGGGCATTTGAGGCTCAAATCTTTGAGAGATGACTAGGTAATCAATAAGAGTACTAGGTAGCATTGTCCCATCGCGACAACTATGGACCATATCCGCACGGGTTGCCGCGACTCCTTGATAAACAATCCATTGATTGCTCAAACTTATACTATTTACTAGTGTTTTCCTAATGTATAGTACATTAGTAATCGTTGTTCATTGCTGGTACCCCTTTTCTCCCCTCGTCTCTGACGATCATCTACCTAGTGCTCACCAGTGGAATTGAAAACTTGAATGAATAATACTCTATTTCATTTCTGAATATATTGATATATACACACATATGAAAGGAACAGGAAATGGGATTGAACAGAAATAGACTCATCCTCTGGTGTGTTCAATAAATTTATAATTAGAGGCGTGAGAGAAACGCTAGGCATGATATGTAATATCGATGGAATTGAAGGTATTGAAAATTTTATCCCCCTTTCGGACCACAAGAGAGGTAATCTGAATATTTCTTTCTTACAAGGTTACAGCCACCAACCGCACCCCTCAGTCTCAAGTTAGCTAAATCCACGCCGGCATCGCGAAGCAAAATGTACTCATAGCCTTCGTCTCTCTTTCCTCACGAGTCTCACCACAACGGTAATGAGTAAGTCCTTTTTGGTCGGTCCTTTCATAATTATCGTAATGTCGTCTCAGTTTCCCAGCTACTATGTTTCGATGCTACCCCCTGCAAATGGGTCTCCGCGAGCGATTTCGGCGGCCTCTTTCGAAGCTTCCTAGGCGTACGACGGCCACCGGATACTTGTGACCCGTTGTTATTGTTCATGAACGAGTCGAAGAGACGCAGTCACCAGGCGTTGCGATCCCAGTTAGGATCTATATATGTAGGTTAGCTGACCAGTTCCTACCCAGCATAGTATTCCATTTGCGACCATCCCTAGTTGAGACTTCTATATCCAAGTCTTGTCGATTCTCTTTCAGATCTTAAAGCTAGTTGACTGCATTGTGCCCTTCTAATCCAATGACATGGGCATAGCAAAATAGGGGAACAAGCATAAGGATAGCAGTGGAGATGGGTAAAATAAGGAGGAAAGGGGTGAACCTGCCTTGTACAAACGCAGCCAGGACTTTACTACCAGTCTGGAGCAGTGGGTGGCCGACAACGATCTTGAGGAATTTCTCGAGCCCTGCGCGTCGGCCCTCGATGACGTCGTCAGAGAAGCGGTTGGTGAACACCTTGCCGGGGAGCGGGGGGATAGTGACACGCGCGCTCTCACGTTCTAGGATGTCGCGGAAGTACTCGAAGTCGCTATAGCGCCGTCGCACTGACGACTGCCGCAGCTTGAAAGCCGGGATGTTGGTCCGGCATACAATCTCGTAGTCCGTGTACATGTTGCGCGACGTGCCATGGGTGCGCGGGTTGCGAACCTATTAGGTGCGTAAAGAATCATTGGTCAGCTCCTCATCACTAATATCTATAACAAACGTCTTATTGTGTCGCGTGATGGGTCTTCGAAGTAGAAAATGAGGTATTAGGCGGATCGTAGGACAAGGTCGTTGAATATGTCTCGCATCCATTGCCATTAGGCGGTATCATTGCATGTTACACGTTGTAGGTGAACAACATGCTCGGAGGGAGCCCGTACCTCTATCTCGAGAAAGTTCTCGGGCGGCCCGTAGATCTCCTCGAATGACTGCTGGCGCGTGTCCGGCATGGACTGCATGATGGGGCGGGTCAGGCCAGCCATTCCGCGGGGAGAGGTTGGCGTTGTCGGGGACGTTGGCGTCTGATTCGGCGACTTAGGCGCTGCTGGAAGTGCGCCCCCGCCGGTCGCGGGGACCTGTTGATGCTCGGTGGACGCCGTGTTGACGGTTGCTTTTTTGGCTCGTTTCGTCGGTTTTATTCGGTCAGAGGCTTCCGCCTCGTCGGCTTAGTGACCAGACAGGTTTTCGGTCGAAGATTATCCAACAGAGGAAGAATTGAGACGGAGTCGAGTTTTGGGTTGTGAGCATGTGCGGTTCGTCTGTTTGGCTGGAGAGGGGAAATGTTGTAAGGTTGGTTTTCTTTAGGTGTCGTTGGTGGTGGTAGAAAGTTCCAATGGAGGTGGGATGCGGCTAGCGGGTTGGCGGAGGTGGAGTGTTCGACCAAGGAAAACAGCTTCCCCAAATATGTGCATATGCACGAGGTACGAAGTGTCAATAGGTATGTACTAGTCAATACATCCACTATTGTATCACAATACGAACGAACCCCATCTTAGGTAATCAATGTTGGTTGGAACCATGAACTTCCATTCCGAGGTCGTACCTGCACTTACCTAAGCTACTAACGCCGGCCTTATGTAATGTATAAATGTGGGGGCTCCGGGGCTCGATTAGTAAAATTCAACGTCGTCTCTAATAGAATAATCAAGATAAACAACAGATCACGCATTATACTATACGTACCATTTTGCAAACTCACGTGTCAAATTCGTATTCTTAATTGAATTCATTCGTCAAAATCATCATAAGGGGAAAACACGATCGATTTCGGTTAGCTACCTTCTAATGTTAAGTGCAACCGTTTGTCTCTGCCAGTAATCCTCCATCTGCGCAAGCAGAGTACCGCAAGAGCATTCTCATTATGTAATCATGAGAGTATCGAGTGCGTTAAAAACCCCTAATAGTCATTCATAACTCGCACACCATCGCGAGTTGGGGGTGTCCCGGAGGAAATAAACGAGTGACTGCCGAAACACCCCGCGTGACAATCCGTAATGGACGGCCAAAGAAGAGAACAGCATGCTCTTCAGCAATAGCTTTTACAGGCTAATGTACCTGAAAGCGTCTATGATGTTAGTTTTTGGCAATAGTTATGGCAATAGCAACAGCAACATGGTCCTTGGTAATTTCCATAGCCCGCACACCAGGCTCCCTCGTGCAACTTCGGGACAAGTTGCTCAACTTCTACCTAATGGTAGACCGTCATCTCACCTCCCTCGACAGCACGACGCAGGACCTTGTCAAGCGCGTCCCATTCGAGGGCCGCCCTCTCTGTAAGCGTCAAGGACTCCATCGCCCGGCCAACTGGAAGTTTGATCTCCTTCTAGAAGAAACCCCAGTAGTCCGAGGTGGTTGCCTGTTCAGCAAGAAGACGCTGCTGCTGGCTGATGCCCTGGAGTCCGGCAATTCGAGTGGTTTCGTCCCGAATTAGAGATATGTAATACTGTGATATTATTGTTAGCATATGGGCTACATGTGAAAGAAGGGAGAGGAAGATAATACATACCTCAACCATATCCAGGGGAACGCCCTCCTTGATATTGATAACCAATAAATGGCGCCACAATCCCGCAAAACGCGGTTGGCCCATGTCTCTCAATTTGTACTCAGGCATGTTGGCTTGATAAGCAATGTTGTCCTTCTGGGCAGCGCTGAACCCAGGAGAGGACACCATCGTCTCTGCGAGGCGGTTCAAAAGCTGCGGCGTCAACCGATCCGGCTTATCACCCTTGCCAATGCGTTTCTGCAGCTGGCCGATCATCTTCAGACCTGCGTCGTACAAATATCCACGTTCTCGGATGGTGACGTGTTCAGACATGTGCCACGGGTACTTCTTGATTGTGCTAATGAGGCACTCATATGGCCGTTCCGGGCACTTCTTGGCAAAGACGGGCTAGTTGAGGATAATGTCAGTGATGGGAATGTTCAAGTGAAAAGTGCAAAGACGATGTACTTACATTGTTGTAACCCTCTACATGCTTGCAGAGCAATGTCATCTCCTCCTGGGTAATGAATCCTTTGAAGTTGTCCCAATCGTGGGGAGAATCACGGGTGATACGAAATGGCACCTCTTCCCATTGAACGCCTTTCGCTAGCGGGAACAAATTCTTCATGAGCGTTGCCTGACTCGAAATTGCAACGTCGACGTTACGTGTTCCGATTTTAGGGACATGAGTGCCATTCTCGACCGCATTCTGGTATCGAGTCACCGCGGTCACAGCATCTTCGAAGGAAGCAAATTCGACATAACATTCATTCGTTTTGCTAGTCGTACGATCCATGATGATGTGAACAGGTTCGTCCCGGTCGTTAAGAATGTTTGCAGAGCGACCAAGGAACGCGATGACCTCGGCGCGCGAGACTTCGTAAGGAACCTAAATATCAATCGTTAACCAGCGTCCGTCATGAAAGTTTAGCAATTATATCAATCCTATAGGCCACTTACGTTACTGATGCAAATTACGCCAGCAATGCTTTGCGCGACGAAACGGCACCTCTCTGAAAAAGGAACATACCAGGGGTGCAGGATGTCGCGTAACGATGGTCTGCCTTCGAAGCCTGTCAGTTGATTCAACATTGGCGAGCGGGCATGCCAGATATCTTCTGGCACAGGGTCGAATTCCAATGGACCAACAAGTGGAACGACTGGTCTTCGTACGACAGCAAGGCTTCCCGGGCCTTCCTGATGTTGTTGTGGTGAACAACTCCGTGCACTTAGCCGAGGCGGCTGCATTGGCGCGCTAATTCGCTCCGTCAAAGCGCCAGTAGAAGCGCTACCTGGTAAGCCATGCGCATACTGATCCACGGTCAATCCCTCAGAGTTAGGTTGGGCGCTACCCGTCATGTCATTAGTACGACCCTCGACGGTTAGAGAGTGTGCTCGCGGGTGCTGCTGCTGTCGCGCGTTGGTTGCTGGAAGAGTATTGTTTCTACCACGAGGCGTGGGTGTGGGGGTTGTTGAACCACCATGCTGGCTCTTGGTAGATTTTCCGTCGCCCTCTTCTTCGTCACTGGAATTCATGACAGAGTTCAAAGGGCTAGGCTTTCTAGGACCGTAGGCTCTAGATACCTCCTTTCTCTTCTCCTTTCCATGTTCCGTCTCGGGCGTGCTTCTGATAAAGCCGGGGGGGCTTCGATTCTCTAGTCCAAGAGAGATCCGGGTCTCTGGACCGAATCCGGGCGTGGGCGAAGTCGAATTAATAGAGACACCACGTGCTGAATCACTGAGCTTCTGAAAAAGCATTGATGCCACCTCTGGAGAATCAACGGATCGCGTACTGTTCGATTCACGTCGAGCGTGATCCTTAGATGCAGCCTGGTTAGGGACGAAAGACGTAGCAGGGCTACTGTTAGGTGTCCGAGTAATGCCGCTGCGATTATCAGTCGACGGTCCTTTTTGGGCGAGGCCCTCCATAGCAGTAACTAAGACCTTCTGATCGGGCTGGGCCTTCTTCCCGGTCATGGCAAAGTCCAGCGACCGGTTAATGCCATGATGAACGGAATGAGCTGTGCCAGAAAAGCTTTCAGGACCGCTACCTGAAGAATAAGCCTGCATGTTGTTGCTGCTTGGGCTATTGGCAACGTCCATAGAGCGATGCGCCATATGTGCGCGCAGGAAAGATTCACTGAACGGGTTGAGGTTGTGTCCGCTGGCGACAGGTTGGGAACTATTGTCGGCGCTCAGAGGCGTAGCAGACTGTGTATTGAAAGAAAATCCGTTAGCGGTCAAGTTCAAGTACAATTCACACCGTCGCACAGTATACACTAACTGGTATATGTAATGTTACGGGTTTGGAATTGGATCTGATGGAATAAAGAAGGGAGGGGTCAATTACCGTCATAGTGGCACGGACAGGTGTCTTGCCATCGCCGATTGCTTTATCGGCGTTCATGCTAGAAGCACTAGGTTTGACTTCATTTCCAGAAACAGGCTTAGGAGCGGCAGCCTTGATCGTCTTTCCGCTAGAGTCAGAATGAGGAGACGAGTGAGCACTCGCGATGGATGACTTGTTGTCGTCAACCTTGTTCTTAACAGCGCTTGGTTTAGACTTGCTAGAAGCTTTGGATGAGGGACGGGAATGGACGGAGGCACCACCTCCCACACCGCCACTATCACTGCCGTCACTACCTTCGGGTGACAATGGAACACGTCGACTGAGCCTGGAATTTGTCCAACGGGAGCCTCTTCGAGGCTGACCTGATGGATGAGAGTCCATTGAAGACCAAATGCTTCGATGCAAGAATGTAGATGGTATTGAGTATATCTGTAATAGGATGACGGGTTAGCAATTGCTAGAGTCAGTGAAGGCTTGTGAGCATACGTGAATATCGAGCTTATCGGTGTGTTGGGATGGTGTCGTTGTATGGGAATGCTAACGCGTTAAGATGTCAGTGTATGAAAATATGTAGGAGGAATGGGTAGGATAAGAAAATATGTAGGAGGGAACTTGGGTGAACAGATGTGGGTGTTGGTCCAATTAATGAAGGTGGCAGGGGGAGAGATGAAAGCGGCGCAAATAAAGGAAGTGGTGAGGTAGAGGTAGAGGTTAAGGTTTGGCGTTAACACTTCAATATTGATGGGTATAGCCAATGGGCGCGCCGATGTGAAGGAATAGTAGATAGGTACCTGCCTCGACAGGTTGAATTGCCAATATGACCGTTTATAGTATCGACGAAAGGGGGTAAGCGCAGGTAGTAGAGGCCACCTAGAAGTTATCTGGTTGGTGAATTGGGTAAAGGAAAGTTTCACGATGGAAGGAGAAAGGATATTGTCTAGAATAGTCTTGCGGAAACGTCTGAAGTGGTATTCAATGGCAGAATAAGCGGCAGAACAGGCCAGGCGGTGGCGAGGCTAGGAGGGCAGGTGATGAAATCTGGGACTTGTACACGGACAGTGTGGGTTATGATTGGACGGTGTACAGCAAGGCTAGCTCCTCGTACTTGCCCAGTCGGCGGAAGGTACATTAAAGGAGCAGGTTCTCAGGGTACGTAGCCTTTTGGGACGAAAATATGAAATAATGGACCAATCAGGGGATTTGCAATATGGAAATTTGGGACCGTGAAGAAGTAAAATGTCACTACGTACCTGTTCAAATGATACGTTCCAAGCGTACACCTGCCTAAGAAATGGTGAGGTCAGTTATGAAGATACAAGGGGAGAATGTGTCATAGGAGAAATAGAGTAACGATTATAGTTGAATAGTGGAGCAGACCCTACAGCAATGTGCTTAAAGTGCGGGTTCAACCTTTGAGGAGCAAGATTAGCCCAGGTCGGTCGATGAGTTCGTGTATTTGCGAGCAGATAATCGTTCAGGAGACCAGTGAGGGAGGACGAGGAAGAAGGGACATGGAGGAATGCCTTTAAGCACATAACTAACTCACCCTTGGAAGAATAGGAAAAATCGAAAATTGTTTCTCCTTGGAAGGGAAGGAAACTTGGTCGATGTTGAGACTGGAGGTATCTGTGGTGCAAGCTGCAGGTTGGTACGGTTCGTTCTAGGGATATGGATCCTCAGAGTTGTGCCTGAGAGAATCCAAGGGTGAAGGTTGGTGTTGAGATTGGAAGTGGTGGTTGAGAGGAGAGAGTGATGGTGGTAATATAGGTTAGTAGGCGGAGAAGAACTTAGTGGGATAGCTATCAGTAAAAACGGGTCCACGGATATTTCTCAATACTTGCTATGGTGTCGTTGCTATAGTGTCGTTTTTCCAGCTGTCGATGGCTACAGTGGTGACTCGTACTGGGCCTAAGCTTTTCTGCCTGAAGATTCATATGGTCAGTGCTCGGTTCTCAATAGAAGGCAACAGCAGAAAACCAGTTGCCAGGTTGGCAGAACTGACTTGGAATATTCGGTTGGCTTGACATGTGCCCTGGAAGAAGGTGGACAGGTGGCAGGTAGTCTACGAGACGTATCAGAGATTGGCACGCGTCAAGTAAAAAAGTTATATTTTATTTGTTTGGCTTAGCCACGACTCATAAGCAATTTATAGTCGACTGGCAAAATGTAGAAATTCCAGTTGTCATGATCCGGCTCGCTATTGCCACGTCTTTAAACGTTCAATTGACGCCTTAACTGGTATTACTATAATGTATCTGCCTTCCATATCACTAAACCTTCCCAGTAATTATATCTAACTAATCAGTTTCCAATTCTTAGGATAATGGAATATCAAAAAGGGAGTGGGTATTCAGGGGTACCATTACACTTATGCCGGTGAGGAAGATAGTTGAAATGCATTGATGGATACCTATGATAATGTCGATATATGAGCAGGTCACTTATGAGAAACTTACAATCCCAAGCCCTAGGTATACCAGCTCTGGGAGATATCTGGTAGGATTGATGTTTAATTCATAGGAGGCCGTCTGGAACCTATTGGCTGCTAGCCTTGGAACAAGGTAGACGAAGGGCTTTTCCCCTAGTATGCAGTATATCGAATTCCGTAGCCGTGAGCAACCTTGGAACTCCTTTCACAGTAACGTCGTTGTTTCCTGACTCATTAGTCCCGCCTTGAGACAACCTCATGAACATAGCAGTTGACCACTTTTGTAGCCTATGAGCGCAAGCCAGGAATTTCGAGGCTTTCATAAAGTATATCAACAGAAGATAACTCCAAGTTTTATTTTTTGACTAATCACCTAAGTGTTCAGAAGGTATATCAACTTGAACAAGTTACCGTCCTGTTTTTTTCCTTCCATATTACTCATTCTTTCTGTGCTGTGTACTTATCTCAATAGACAGACTTGGGTTAGGACGCATGTTAATGTCTTGTTTATATGTACCTATCTAATCATTACTTACTACATAAATACTCCTAAAATGTAGGTACCTAGTATATACCTAGGTACCCAGTATCTAGCTTTTTAACATTTTAGTACAGTGTGTATACTCAGTGTTTTTACTAGCCGGACACCTTTCTAAGATTCCTTCAGGGCAGTCGCTCCCCTTTGTACAACCGTGCAATCATCTAGTAGTGTCAAAGTGGGGCGGAATTACCAAGGTCGTCGCTTCGTGCAATTGCTCCTGACAGTTTTCTTGCGGATAGGAGATGCCCGGTTAGAACTCCAGAGATCTAATATCAAAAAGGGCTTTCATGATCAATTTCTATAACTACCTAGTACCTATAGTAAAGCCTACCTGAACTACATACTCAAGTGAGCCTTGACGATATACAACCGAACCCCCAAACCCAGTAGGTATAGCAGTTTCTTTTTGACATTCGACACCCAATCCTCTCAAGACTGATAGTCCACGGAATTTACTGAATACTCTCATGAACCGACCAAACAGGAAGAGGCTTCATTTGTCAAGGTTATCTCGACTGTTACTGTTTGGGTTTCCTCATGGTTGTTGCCAATGTTTCGATCGTCACTTTGGGTTCGTAAATTCATCTGTGGGGTCTTGAAATCCTCATTTTACGTTTGTTGCCAAGTTCTCAATTCGCAGGTGGGCGCCATCGACAGTCTTGCTGAAGTCCTTTCGAATTCTGATTGAGGTTGTGGGGTTGTAAGGTCTGGTTCTCTTCCCTTATCGTTTGCGCCTGCAAGGTCGTCCGGTGAGGTTGATATGATTAATAAATGTGTTGTTAGATCTAAGTGTGTGTACGTGCAGTAGTCAACACATTGGCTCGTATCTAATCTATTGATGATAGACTAGATTGATACTCCTCTACGCACGACGACTTGATTAATTAAGAAAGTATCTACGGAGTTCTAATGAGAAATTCTTAGATTTAAGTAACATATGATTTCAGGGGTTAATTCTACGCATCCATCTTCTCCGCCGTATCACGGGAAATGAATGGTTTTGTAACTCTTTCATTGTTATCTAATCTAGGTATACAAGCTGTTTGATAGACGTAGACAATTCAATGTTCCATGCTTGAATATGTGGCTTCTTACTGATTTTGAGGCAGCGAGCGAATTTATTAGAAAAGGCCGGGAGGCGGCGTTTACTATTTGCATCTTCTTCGGCCAGGAAGAGAAAAGACCCATTACATGACGTGTTGGGCTCTCGGCTAGAAAAGGGGTAAAGGGATATGAAGATTAATGAAGGAAAAAACTCGGATATATCGCTGTAGGGACCCCATGGGACTGAATATTTCTTAGGTTCGTTTTCATCTTCAAATATCTAATAAAACCACGTTAAAAGCATGAAGTCTATGTGTTTGGTATATGGAACTAGGAATAATGGAAACACCCAAGACATTAGCGATCGGAATACTATATGTAACAAAGTATGTAGGCAAATTATAAAACGTGGGTGAAATCTTGGTGGATAAAGGACCTGATTACTAGTAGGTAGACTATCGTAGTTGTCATTGAGATTTTGAGACCGTTTATATGGGTGGGCGACTGGGTTGGTAAACTATGGATAGCACTTCGACATTCAATGGGAAATTTGAGGTAGCTAGACTTAGAATGAATGAATCGACGTGCTGGGAGTAGTAAATAGTAATCATTGATGTCATTTCATGTGTCTAGATAATCTGTGCTGCCAAGGTGTCGCTCTTTATCTGTGTGGCGTCACTAGTTAATGTCTTGGTATGCCAACCCTTGCATCTTTACAAGCTCCAGTTGGATGGTCTATTCATGCCTTGTCATATCTTCGATATCAGTAGGCGTAAACTCAAGGCTTCACCCATACATCTTGCTCAGTCGAACTGAAATAACGTCAGCGGAGTATAGAAGGAAGGGATCATAAATGGACTAACAGGTGTTAAGAAGGATTCAGCTACGAATCTTGCTCGAGCATTCAACTAATTCCTGTTAGTATGGTTATCCAACGGATGTTTGAACCCGAGACCACATACAAACAACTTCATCTCCGAGATTTCCTTGTCTACTTCTTCCATAAACTGGATAATGAAGTCTACGAGCTTGTGCTTCAACATCTCCTCAGTATGGAAGTTTGTTATCAAGAAGGAAATATCGTAGCCCTATTTGGATCGAATTAACACCAATGAACTGTATAGGGGTTCGTATATTGGTAGCTAGGTACCTTGATTGGCTTTCTTCTAAGGATGAAGAAGGCCTCGGCTCGTTGAGTAAGGAAGCGGGTGAACTTGTGAACTAGAATATTTTCGATTTCGTCTGCCTGCTTGATCTTGATGCTTATTCTCACACTATTGACGCTCGGCTCGATGAGGACCTTCTCGTTCTCGTTACGTGCGATGACTAGCGGGTTGAGTAGAACCTCAGGAGAGGTTTGGGCTTCGATTTCGGGGACATTGTGACGTTCAGAAGTCTGAGAGGCGAAGTTGGAGAGACAGAGCGCGGCCGTAAGAGTGCTCCGCACGCATTGGAGATACGGGCGGAGAGATTGGGACTGGAGATTCACGTTAGCAAATGTTTCCTGACTTCTGATTTCTGAATTATAGCAGAGGAAGCAAGAAACGAGAGTAGAACATGCCATGATGCGTAGCCCTTGGGCAGCTTGGAGTCCCGAAGTTGTGTCTGGTCTTTAAGGAGTGATGTGGGGTGAAGCAATCGCCAGCAAGACGCTGGTTGCTTGCAATTACGTTTGTATGTACTAGGGGGTATGTATGTACAATGTGAAGTTACAATGTGGGGCAACGCCTTAAGCAGCTTCAAGGTTTCATAGCCCAATTACGTAATACGTTTGGTGCATCGGGAGTGGCTTAGCTGACTAAGGCTTCGTTAGCTTGAAGCATCCACGGATTGAAGCATTGGAGCTTCCAAAGTTACTATGCAGGCACGTGATATCTAATTAAGATTCGTGAGTGTGGTTTGTTTGGTGGCTGACACTTCCCAGCCCCACTTCGGATGAAACTCTGAAAGCTTTGGGTGACGCACCCACTAGTTTGCCTTGGTCTTGCTTGTATTCAACTAGAAGGTCGAATTCTATAACAACCCTAACTACCCTTGGTAGTAACTTGAAGTTGTAAATCTTCTCCCCACCTTTCCTCTTGGATCATCCCAAGTTGTACTCTTATTTCTTAGGTATTCGCCAAGTTCCAAGTTTTAATTACAAGATATCGAAGGAAATATCTTCAGCTCTACAAGATGGCGACCATACCAGGTGAGCACTGCGAACTCTGCCACTATCTCGGAGATACCCCGCTAACCCGCCTCGCGATATACAGTCGTCGTCAAGCATCAAGGTACGAAGTACGATGTTGAGGTCGATACCGACTCGACCGGTGAGGTATTCAAGTTCCAACTTTACAGTCTTACCGGCGTAGAGCCCGAACGTCAGAAGATCTTGATAAAGGGTGGCCAAGTGAAGGATGATACCCCCATGAGCAAGTTCAACTTCCAACCCGGTCAATCGATAATGATGCTTGGTACGCCCGGAAACAAGGATGTTCTTACTCGTCCTAAGGAGCCGGTTAAGTTCGTCGAAGACATGACAGAAGCCGAGGCCGCCCAGCAAGAGGGAGCTATACCTGCTGGTCTAACTAACCTTGGTAACACATGCTATCTCAACTCAACCCTTCAAACTCTTCGTGCCATCCCCGAGCTGCAGAACGCTCTGGGTAAGTACGAAGCTCCCAGCAGTGCTATGAACACTACTGGGCTCTTGCCACCACTGGACTTGACGAAACAGCTTAGAGATTTGTACAAGTCCATGTCCGAAACCCAAGAGCCATACGCGCCCCACACATTTCTAACCTCGCTGCGTTCGGCATTCCCTCAGTTTGCTGAGCGTTCTCGAACTGGTAACGGATTTGCCCAGCAAGATGCTGAAGAGGCATGGTCTCAGATTGTCACCCAGCTACGCCAGAAGTTGCGCGTGAAAGATACCCCTGAATCCCCAGAGTCCTCTTTCATTGATAAATACATGTCGGGAGAGTTAACGGCCGAGCTTGAGTGCGACGAGCCTGCAGCTAGGGAAGGCGGAGAGAAGCCCGTAGTCTCGAAAGAGACTTTCCTGAAGCTCAGTTGCCACATAGATGGCAATACGAATCACCTACGGGATGGAATCGCAAACGGTCTAAGCGAAAAGATTGAGAAGAGATCGGAGGTTCTCGGCCGAGAAGCTGTTTACACCAAGACTTCTAAGATCTCTCGGTTACCCAAATACCTCACCGTGCAGTTCGTTCGCTTCTTCTGGAAACGAGAAACCCAGAAGAAGGCTAAGATCATGCGTAAAGTCACCTTTCCGCACGAATTAGACCTCGTGGAATTTTGCGACGACAAACTGAAGGGAATGCTTGTTCCGGTCAGAGACAAGGTTCGAGAAGTTCGAAAGGATGAGGAAGACATTGAGCGTGCCCGCAAGCGCCGCAAGCGGAATGGGGCTGGCGAAGATGATATCCCTGGTGGAAAGGGCGCAAAGAAGGAGGACAGTAAGGCGTCCGGTACTTCTGGGGATGGCGACGTGGAAATGGGCGAGACCTACAAGACTGATGCAGAGATTGATGCAGAACGCGATGCAGCGCTTCTTGCAGCGAAAAAGGAATTGAACGCCCTTATTGACCCAGCCCTCGCCAACGACGACGGCGCAAACCAATCCGGCTTGTACGAACTTCGAGGAGTTGTGACACACCAGGGCGCAAGCGCAGACAGCGGTCACTACACATCTTACGTCAAGAAGTCGGCACCGGTTGATGCGAAGACCGGCAAGCGAAAGGAGGAAGATGGCAAGTGGTGGTGGTTTAACGACGACAAGGTGTCTGAGGTAACAGCAGACAAGATCGAGGCGCTAGCCGGAGGTGGCGAGTCGCACTCGGCTCTCATCTTGCTGTACCGCGCTATCCCCTTGCCTTCTGCCGAAGGGACGATTGAGTGAATACGCGAAGATGAGAAATGATGTCGCATACGGGCGTTTGAGTGCATGGCAAGCAGGGAACTTGGGACTAGCATTAGACTCACTTTCACTTGATGGGGAACGGTTCGGAAAATAAATGTTGTGCCAACATGGCCAAACTTGTAGTATTTTCAGCAGTCCTTACGTTTGATGCTACAACGCACGTACGTGTGGATATTTAAAGCAAGCAGAACGGTTGGCATATAAGCCTGACGTTGCCATAATTGTCCAGCCTTCCTTTGTAATAGAACCCCTAAAATGGCAAGCAAGTGCTTTGAATCCATTTCTTTCGTAGTCTACCATGAGTAGCCATGGATTTGCCTCCAACTTACGCAATGCTCAGCTGCAATGCATTTTCTGTCTATCTGGAAGCATCGTCGCCGCCCGAAAATCTCTCGTGGGCGGATGATAGCTTCTAGCCATGGATAGACAGGGTGGAGATGAACAGATATCTCAATGATCATTCGTCATTATCATATTCTCTCGCTTCGTATCCCTTTATATACTTTCCTTCGGATACAATCCCTCGACATCTCTTGTGCTTTCACTTCCCGCTCTGATTTGTAGCAGCAGCAGCAGCAGCAGCAGCATCCTTCAGCTCTTGGGCCCTCATCCGAGCTCTTAAGTCGTTAAGCTTCCGCTCAATCGGCCTCCGCTGCGCGAGCAGCGCCGTGCGCCGCTCCTCCAGGTTCCGTATCCGGTCCTCGGCGCTGGCCTCCGCGATCTTCTGCTTCTCCCGATTGTACTCCTGCTGCGTCTTCAGCCCGGCCCCGTAGATCGCGCCGACGACGGCGACGGCCGCGAAGGCGCCCGTCAGCACCCTCGCCCTGAAGGTGAAGCGCGGCGGGCGCGGGATCTGGCTCAGTACTTGTCTTGGTGGAGGTGGCGGTTGCGAGGGTGCCATGGCGGGGTGTTTATTTATGTTCCTTGCCCTTCGCCCTTCGAGATTTTTGTTCGTTTATTTTTTTTTTAATCCCCGGGACTCTTTCTAGCAGAGCCGGCTCGCCTGTTGCTGCTTCCTCACGGCTCTCCGATACCTCGCGGCATTCCAACAGGGTCTGATTGTGTCGCGCTCCAAGCTCTTGGTAGTTCCGCTGCTGCTTGTGCTAACGTCGCTGTCGGAAGATGTAGCGCGGCTGATTGGGCTAGCTTTGGTTCTATCGCCCTTTCTACAGATGGCGGCAGGTCGGGGCAGGTCCGGTAGTTGGAGTTCGTGGCAATTGCGATGTTCGGCGCGACGGGTAGCAATTGTCGCACTTTCGACACTTTTTTCGCGTAGTCGAGGAAGTGGCGGGCCAGGGTTGGAGCTCCAATTCCGCGGCGTAAAAATCGGCGCCGCTAGATCCGCCGCCGCCGGGCCTCATGGGGCCCTATTAGTGGAACCAATAGCGCGCGAGGATAAGAGCAGTGCCCTTAGTAATCCGCTAACGGTATCGGGGAACGACATCATCGATTACTTGTGACATCCATATCTACCTAAAGTATTACTTGTGTTGGGGTTATTAATTTCCCTGTTCAAGACGAAAAGTATAAAAGGCACAGTAGCTCACATAGTACAGCAAATACGGCTTATGTTGTTCTCGTATTAATCGGATCATGAGCCTTTGATTCTCTTCTCTCTTAGCTTATATTCGTCTTCTAAAAGACAATTCTTGTCCTAGTTGATATTTAGCGTCGTTCTTCTACTTCTCTTTGAGGGGTAATCCCGCGGCCCCTTTCTGACAAGGTTACCTACTCAGTTTCACGCCTAAGCGTTACTTGTGTTAGACAGGTTTAGGTTAATCTATTGTTACCTATTTCTTTGGAGAAGAACCCCTGGGCCGGGGTGCTTCGTGGCTTATCATAGTACAGGAACATCTCATGCGGCCAAGGCTTAAATCCGGGACACAGTGGAAATCTACATCAACGGCTCTTTCAACCTTTATTTTAAGAGCTAGAGCTCGCTAATACCTAGTTCCATCTCGGCTAGAACTTCTTATAGAAGGTTTAAGGTTCTATCGTCCCATAAGCGTAATGGCAACTCCTCGAGTCTTTCTCGTCCGTCATGGTGAGACAGAGTGGTCATTAAACGGAAGGCACACAGGCGTGTCTGATATTCCTCTTACTGCCAATGGCGAAAAGCGTGTGAAAGCTACCGGCCGAGCATTGGTTGGAGATGATCGACTGATAGTGCCGAAGCAACTTGCACATATGTGAGTTCATCCCGTCTCAAGTTCTTTGAGTCGTTCCCAAATTTCTGGCACTTTTTGGAGTTATTCATCGGCTGGCAAGGACCTTAGACAAATCTATCCCTTTAAACAACGACATATAGTTCCGATTTTTCTTTGATTATCCTTATACTTATCCAAGGACATGTGTCATGCAAACTCATAGGATCAACTATACTCTATCTAACCCTCCATTACCCATATCCTTACCCATTCAGCAACTTCTTCCACTCCCGTATTTCTAGTATTAGGGTATAAGTAGGTGTACTATGAATGTCCCTACAATAACCTCCATAAAGTATTCGGCTCAAGCACCAAGTGGTATCTCGGAATAGCCAAAGAAGAAGAAACGCAAACTTAATATCCCCCTTACGGATCGTCAACAATACATTCTATAAGTACAGCTCAGGCGGATATTTCACTGATCATGTCCCTCTTAGATATGTGTCACCCCGGAAGCGAGCCCAACGCACGTTCGAACTACTGAACTTTGGCATCTCGGATCCCTTGCCATGGAAAGTTCACGGTGAGAAGCTTCCAGAGGCTAGTCATACCTGCGGAGCACGGGTCGAGGTTACCCAAGATATTCGCGAGTGGGATTATGGCGACTACGAGGGAATAACAACCCCTGAAATCCGCGAAATTCGTACCAAGCAGGGTCTCGGTCCGAAGTGGGACATTTGGAGAGACGGGTGTGTCGGCGGAGAGTAAGTTATCGACTTCCTTCCCTATAGCTGTCCAAATCAACAGGACCAACGAAGTCTCCGGTTGGCTGTACAAATGGGATGAACCGAGAAAGCTTACGTCTTGGATAGGAGTCCTGATGATGTCACGCGGCGCGTGGATCATCTCATCAAGGAGATTCGAGAGAAGTGGCACGGGCCCGTAATTGGGAAGTCTAAATCAGAAGACCTGCCACCAAGTGATGTCCTACTTGTGGCCCACGGGCATATCCTCCGTGCTTTCGCTATGAGGTGGGTCCAAAAGACACTGCAAGACGGCCCAGCTTTTTTGTTAGAAGCTGGTGGCGTTGGGACGTTAAGGTGAGTGTAATTGTTTTCCTATGTCGAGCTTACGCAAGAGATTCTCTACTGCTGTAAGCTTCCATGAAGATTGGTACTAAGAAGACCCGCCCTATCTAGTTACGAGCACCACAATATCGACGAGCCTGCCATTTTGCTAGGTGGTGCGTTCGTTGTTAGCCCATAGGCTAACATGATGTACTTTATGCTGCTTATAATGAAATGATGCTCTGCAATAGAGTACTATCCGGATATCATAGCTAGAATAAATTTACATAAAATCAATGGTGTAAACATGGGTATTAATACTAGACCTTGGAAGGCCTTGAAGCTGAATAAATGAATAGCGAGTCTCTTCTGCCACGATTGAGAAAACAATATTTATAAACATAGAAATGGAGAATCAAGAAGGCTGTGTCTGGGTAGATGTCCTTGGCGAACTACCCCATCACAGCTCTAAGTTAGTTCATTAACTTGGCCTCGTGTCTCTGGGTCTAAGACAATTATACTAACATAGTTTCTCGACAGTCAAGATTGGGGTCAGCCCTAACGTCAATTGACCACCTGTAGGGGTTTCGTGGACTGCATAAGAGCTTGAATCCTTATAGGGGTCCCTATATCCGCTAGCCCTAGATTCTTCCGTTGACCCGGTCGTCCACCTTATCCTCACCCTTTTCTTGATTTAAGTTGCGTCTCTGTTTACTACTAAGTAGGAGTACTTATATCCTCTCACTGGTTTACGCTCCTAAACATTTCATCGTATGATCATATATTTCTATTGTAAGGTATCGTAGAGGTAACCGTACTTGGCTAGGCAATCACTCAGGAGCTGCCATCTAAGCGAGCAGGATCACTCCGCAACAAACAATGGTCTAGGTATCACTCAGACTCCGAAAGTGGTCATTGTTCCTTTGCCAGGATTCTGGGAAATTGTATATGTTTATGTTGATCACAGTTGAAGTTACTTTCTGCTGGTGGATTTGTTACTTACATAATAGCTCATAGAGGGTAACTGGGCCGAAATTTCCTCATTGCTGTATAGAGAATAAGAGGATGGAAAACCTGCCACAGATGATTCCAAAGATAGTTACCTATCAAACGTTTCATATAAATAGCTGTACGGGAGCATATAGTCTAAGTAGTATCTATGCTTCCATGGAAGTCTCGTTATTAACACTTATTATCAATTGTAGCCCAGAACGTCGGGTACGATACCCTCCCCTTTTCCCGTGAGCTCTGATAGTTCGTGGTCGAACTAAGAACATGTCATCAATGCTTAATGGTTATCTGCCAAAATGGCCTCATTGGTAGTCGTACTTCAGCAGGAAAAATCCAAACTCTACATTCTAGAAGCTTTCTTCGATACACCTGATTACTATCTAACGTCTACTGGTGATACGATGATCTAAAGGGTCCAGAATATTTCGACGTATCTCGATGTAAGGTAAGCGAAGATGGGAAAACACATAACAATATCCTGTAGGTAGGATCGTAGGATCATAGGAGAGGAATCTAGATCCTTGTGTTGGTTGCTGCCAGTCTGCTCCTCGTTGAAGTTGGAAAATGTGGCGAGAAGTAGTAACCCCTGAAGCTCAATGTAACAATTCTTACCTTTCGGGAAATGTGCTTATCTATTAATCCCTTCTATAATATATATTATTCGTAATGTATATCTTTGCTGTTAAATTCCCATTCGCAGCCGGTCTTTACGGGGTTCGTGGTCACCTTCTTCGTCCGAATAAAGTCGCCGTACTTCTTCTACTATGGATATTTCTAATGATCGTATCTTTGTAGTATCTTACCGCATTCGGCTTCATAGTCGTTATTCGATGCTCTAACGGTAGTGTACATTGAATTCGTCTGGAGGAGTTCTAATTCTCGCTGGGCCGATGTTTCTTCGAATAAGTCGGTTTTCGTATCAGCCATGAGCCTCCCTGAAGTGTCATTAGCTATCAAGTAATGTACTAGAAAGCATATATTATACCATGATTATACCGTAACCTTATGACGTGTCTGGGCATCGGTCTAAAGCGAATTTGCCCTTCTATAGCTGCCAAGGAAAAAATGATCTGGGCTATCTGACCCTAGATTTTGAACCGATGAGGCTAAAGAATGGAAATAAAGGAGTAGAAAACAATATGTATTGGTTTCTACATAGAGTATCTAGCAGAAGGGGGGTCTGCCCCCTGAATGTAAACAATATGTTGGCATGAATGAATCAAGGTCTGAATGTCTATAGACTTCTAAACCAACCAGACTGCAAGGGTTCGAACTCACATGTTTGGAAGGGGAATCGATTTATCTCCTGTATTAACCCCTGGGATATTAGCAATCGTGTTGTCGCGGTAGAACTAGTTAGCTTAGCGACCTGTTGGTTTCGACATGCAGCGACATTAGGCTTGGAGAATGGAATTCTGGCTCGTCAACTAAACGACCGAATCGTGTTGAACATCCCTTCATCGTTGATGGGCTTTCGATATGATCGGAAATTCGACGGGCGATCGAAGCTATAGGCTGGTTAGGTGATTGCATCTTGCCAGATCATGCCATTGTAGGACTCTTTTAAGGGCTCGATTAAGTGATTATAGTTGATGGTTTCTCGACGCCAAGGATCATATACGATCAACAAAGAGAGAAATCAAGAGTATGACCCTGGACGGAATCTAGGGAGATAAACGATGGCGCGATATGGTAATACTTATCGGCTGGACAGGGCAATATAAAGACATCCTGCTCTTGATGGCATTGGCATTGGCATTGCCTTCGTAGCCATTGGATAATCTAGAATCAATTTCCAGTGTTTTGTCGGACCTGAGGTTAGCCTTTCTGATGAAACCGGGCATAAAGTTTACGGAGGGTTTTGTTTGCTTGGTTTTCTCTTTCGGGTCGAGACTAACGGCACTATTGGTATTCTAGTATGGTAGAGCATACGTGTACAGTAATCATTTAGTCATCTAAGGGAAAGCCTAGGTAACTGCTAGGTACAAACTTGTCTCGCCTGGCAGAGAAGGAACCGCCTCACCGGTTCGCTTCGGTAAGCCCCAGGCGCGCGCAAACGCCCAACGTGGCAGCCCGATAAGCTTTCCCACCCCCCTTCTCTTTAGGCATGCAAGATGGAGCCGCGGTCTCGGCCCAGTCAAGTCTTCTTGCCAGGGGGCTAGAAAAAACCCGAGCGATGGAGAAATTACTTAGTAGGCAAACGTAGACTTTCGGTGCGGTGCGGTACGGTACGTGGCGTCATCCGCTGCAAACCCACAACGTCCGCTGAATCTTTAAAAACCCCCTAGCGTTGGGCGGCCTCGAACGAGCATCATACGTAGTACTAGCTCGCTATATCATTCCCTATGTATGTATGTATGTATGTCTGTAGATACTTACCTAGGTACCTACCTACGTACGCAGATAAGCCGGGAGTCACTATTCTCGGGGCGCGGTGACGGCTTGTTTCACCATTCTTGTGCTAGCCCTGGGAGTAAGGGGAAGAGGAAAGGTGTTGATGTGTGTACATTCATATCTGGACGTATTTTATGTTTGGATGTGGGATAGATGCTAGGTTAGGCTGTGAGACAGCGATCTTCTCCAATACCTTAGCCCCAAGTACCCAACGGTTGGAGTCGCGATGCATATACAGCGACGCCGTCGAGGGGATTGCGTTTCATGCGCATCAACTAGTACCGTCGACCGCGCCTGAATCTCTTCGCACTAGATCAACACCCCATAATTAGACGCTACAACAAATAGGTATGGCGCAGTCATCGGGAAAATAGATTTGTAATACCTAGTACTATAGATAGATATTATAGTAGGGGATGTAGGGGGATGTAGTATCTAGGCCGGCAGTTAGCTCGCCTTTCGGCTTAATTAACCGTTGGCCCTAGTTGGTAGATGTCTAGGCACGTATGTCTTGGTATGTAGGTACATACAAAACATTTCTTCTCGTCTTCCATGCTCACCTTGGGGAGTGGCCGTGTTTAGGGTAGCTAAACGGTCCACGGTCCATTCGGAACCCTGCGGGAGCTAGAACATTTCATCGTCACACGTTTACTTCGCAAAGAGACTAGTCACGTTTTCCCGCGTCGTATCTTCATATACGCGGGTGCCACTTATGTGATTACTTAATAACTCAACAACTAAGAGGTCGATCCGATGCCGTCACGTACATACCATCATATACAACGGGCCATTAATCATCTCACCTTGGCTTATTAAGTCCCGGTCGCCCCCCTTTTTTTCTTCAATATTCCCGAAAGTTAATCTGCATGAAAAAAAAGATTGGTCTGCGACTCCTTAAAGCTCGCCTTGTACGGGGAAGCCGGGTCGTGGAGATTCCCTTTCCACCCCTCCTTTTTTTTTTGCCCAGCAGCCTAGGCGCGAAGAATGGCGGTGCGAGGTCACGACGGCGCCGGTGTATGCGTGTAATGTGTCGCTAAGATCCCCAGAGCGAAAAGGCGACTAGGATACCGATGTAAACGTCAAATTAGACACCGAAACGTTCGCCGGATCTATTCCGCGATCATGGGCAAGTGATACAGTTGCATTTTATGGTCAACGATTGTCAACGAATCCAGCCCTTTCTTATCGAAACCTTGGCCACCCGTATCCACTTGGGAGGGTCCACAGGTTCTGTGTAGTCTGACCAAGCACCCCTATCGTTCGTCCCCCTCTTCCGGGCTTTGGGCCATCGTCTTTCTGCGCGGTAGTACCGTAGTTAGGTACCGTGGTTATGTATCATGTAGTCAAGGTTACGACGTAGCATTAGCGCGCCTGCGCACCGACTTTGGGCCATCTGCCTCTTCACTATGTTCCCTGGCACTTCAAACATGGATGAAGCTACCCCTGCCTGGATAGGGCGAAGATCTAGAACGTTTTGACATCAGCATGTCGCTACACGGTACGAACGCGTCAATTGCAATTCTGGTAACTCTGGTAACTCTGATGACTTTGATGACTTTGATGACTCTGATAGATCTGAATGCCCTTTCTTTTTTTCAGGCCTGTTTCTAAAGACAAAGCAAATCGCGGTCCACAGCTCGTTTGAGATCATGACCCATGTTATGAAGGCAACGCGGCGGACGTTGTTTTAGAATAGATGTAATAGAACCAAAGCAACCACCCAGCGTTTGGATTTTTGCCGTGAGGCGAACCAATCTTCTTAACCCCCCTTGCCCCTCTCCCGTATTCGAATCGAGCGGGCCTCTTTAACAGAATTAAAATCATAAGCAGAACCGACGTAAGAAAGCAAATAGACAATATGCTATGATCGAGGTTTGTCGCCAAACTAGAAGTGTTCTAAGTAAGTAGGTAGTCTTTCGACCGGCCCCTTCACCCATTTTCGTACTCGTCCGCCAAAAGACCGCAAATTACGCCCTTGACTCGTAGCCGCCGCCCTGGTGAATGAAATGCAAATGCCGCCCCGAATGCCCCCCCACCTGCCGACTTGTAAATTTGGAAATCGATTAGAACACCGAGGAATCGTTGCCGATTTAACCGTCCGGACAAGCCGCCAGCAGCCATCTATTTTCCCAACTCCTCCTGCCGATTTTCCCCTTCGATGAACGTATTGACTTCCCCGCCATCCGGTGGCTGCCGTAGATAGTCAATGGCCATCGTCGCTACGTTCGCCTGTTCAGGCGGCCTAGCATCTTCTGGTCGATATCGTTGTTAGAGGTAGGACCAGTGCCCATAATGTTTTCCAGACTCATCACGGAACTCGCGGTACTGTGCCCTGCTGGAGGGCCAGACGGACTGCCTCTCGGAGGCGGCGTCCTGTTATCGTACCCGGCGTACGGAGCCTGCTGGGGGTTTAGCTGCGGCAATGGTTGTAAATGACTTGGACTCCCGCTTGACGACGGAGATCGTCGCCGCGGATTGTCCTCAGGAAACGTGCTTGGAGGAGGTAAACGCACTCCGTGCTCATCATCTACAGGCCTCGGCCGCCGCCTGCCTGCTTCAGACCTCTCCTCCGAAAAAGACCCATACGAGCCAGTCGGCGAAGGCAGCGACTGCTCGTATTGCGGATTCGTAGCTTGAAACCCACCAGCCGGCGCAAGATTCGACCCACCTGACAACGGCTGCCCATACGCCCCAAACAGTTGGGTGCCCGGCGGGATGCCATTTGGCAATGCCGACACGGGAACAAACGCGGTGGACGAGGAAGAGGAGACCGGCTGGAAGACGCATTCCTGATTCATCTTAATGCAGTTCGTACATTTTCCTCCGGGAGAATTTTGGTAGCCGCTGCAACGAATCTAGAGTTATGTTAGTTTTTTCCCCGGGGATATTCCAATAATATAAATCTATCCTCACCTTTCTCCTCCTGCAATATCTGCAAGCAATCGAAGTTCGCTGTCGAGGGGCAGACTGCTGCATTACTGCAGCTCCCGCGTGTCCGCCTCTGGCGTACTCCGGAGGGTATGCCCCAGGCGTGGCGCGATCTTGCCGGTACGTGAAGTCATACGGATTCGGCGCACTGTAGCCAGGGAAGTACGGCGTCGCCCTCGGATCTTGAGAGTAGCTAGCCCTTGGATCCGGAGCCGGCGCATGTACGGGCGGAAGGTAAGATGGATGGCTAGTGCCAGGAGGGGGATAGGCGCCACCGCTTGGGGGAGAGTATGCAGGACCTGGAGATACCTGCGCAGTGGTAGGCGGAGGGGGATACCCATTCGTAGAACTGGGCGAAGGACCATAACCACTGGACCTTGGATCCCAGCCTCTACCAGCAGACGGGCTATAAGCCCCGTGGGAGTCCTGGATAGACGGCAATCTCACCGTAGTTGTCGCCATTTGTGATCGTGAATGATATGGAATTGCTCTCGCACGATCGTCCTCCTCGCCGGGAATTGGAGGATACTGAGATTCGTCGTTTGGGTCGTGCCTTAAAGGTTGTCCTCTATTTCGACGATCTTCTGCCATGCTACATTAATAGACGCTTGGGGGCGCCAGGGTGAGGTTTGAGAGCTGTAGCCACGAAGCGACTAGGAGATAGGTGGTTTTAGGTGACGTCTGAGGCGGCGCGTGTTTCGAGATTGAAATACCCCGGTGACTTTGACGATTTCTTTTTCAAATGCACGATTCCCGAGACAAGGTAGTAAAACAACCGATGACCATGTCAATTTTTTTTTCTTCTAGAAAAAATCCTTTTGGGGGTTGGAAACGGAGACCCAAGCCGAGGCGAACCGCAAGTCTAGAAAAGTCGTCAGGTGCGCATACACAGGAACCGATATCCTTGGAGGCTACCGGGCCGGTTAACAACGCATGCAACTGGGTGAAGTGGCGTAATCGAGGATTAGGAGGATGACGCAAAGATTAATTATAGAACAGCAGGAAAACAGCCGGTAATACTGTTACAGATGTTAAGAAGGTGAGAAGAGAGGCTGTCCGAGAGAGGGAAGAGAGAGTTTTGGGTGCAAGTGAGAAGACGACAGCGCGGTGGAAAGGACGGCGGCGCAAGAAATTTAGGTATTTAGGTGGAATGGCGGGGCCAACCGTGGTGGAAGGGGAAGAACCTTAACAACACAGACAGCGGAGTCTGTAGTGCCGGGAGGAAAGAGAAGGGGCCTGACTCTTCTATAATTTGGGTGCGGGATGACCCTTGGTGACGCTTGGGGGCTGCTGCAAGAGAATCTTGGAAAAGCCTAGCTAGCCCGTTAGCTGGAATGAACCGAACAAAATAGAACTTCTAAGTGGTAAAAAAAGTATAGCGACGATTTTAGTCTGAGAATGGGGCCGCGCGAGGGGTCTAAACAAAATAGGTACGAGGAAATACATGTACATATATATATAGGCGTATATCCATATAATATATGTGAATGTGCATGTAAAGTCGTATGCCGCGGGATGTATGTATATGTGTTCATATGTGTTCAAAATGATCATGCTCGCTCATGAAGACATGAAGACGATTCTCATTTTGAAAACACATACACACCACATATTCACATACGAGCATATACACGCGCACATACGGACACGCACAGAGCCAACCAGGTCCACGAGAGGCTTCGCAGTACACAACGTCAAAAACAAGACTAACCTGCTGTCCGGAGACTACCCTAGGTACCTAGCCCACGAAGGTAAGCAGGTAATCATCCGGCCAATTAACCAACCAACATAGCAAATGGGTTGACGTCTAAAAGGGACTAGCTGAGCTAGATGGGCAAGGGACGTAGTGAGTTGGTAGGGGTCAAAACATCGATATTGGCTGGGTGTCGGCGCTGGTAAGTTATAGGGTAATGTGGTATGTAGGTAGGTTCGTTAAGTAGGTATGTGCAGTGTAAGTACTGGATGTGGATTATGGATGTGTGCGCATGTAGGTTGTGTAGTAGGCAGTGTAGGTATATGTATATGTATATGTGTGCGTGCCCTAGCTGCTAGCTGCTAGCTACCTGGCTACTTACATGTAGCTACCTAGCTACCTAGCTACCTAGATGTTGGGGCTAGGTACTATGGATGGATCAGGGACTAGGAACTAGGGACCAGGGACGACAACGATTTTTTCTGGCGACTCTGCGGACGCAGTTCTGCGAGCGGAGCAGGACCCGCAGTTGCAAGGATGATGGGGATGGGGATGGGAACGGGAATGGAAGACTTGTCTGAATGTGGAGGCATGGAAGTGGCCCAAGATAGTCTAAGTGACTTGGTGTAAGTTTGATTCGAGCGATTGCTGCCATGCCCGACGCAGGACAAGGTCAGGACAGGGCAGTTTTCAGGTGGCACTCGACCAGAGGACCAAGCACTAAGAGAACTAGAAAGAGGATCCAAGTATGATGAAGTATGTAGTAGTATTAAAAACGTACCTTTTTTTCTTCCTGCTCTTTCCCTCTCGCCAATGGCTTTTACTTGACCTGACCCGACTTGACTACGCAGAGCTAATGCTCTACTAGCGGCAGCGTTCCTTTCCGGGGTGGGCTAATAAGAATGGTGATTCGCGCCGGTGGATTAGAAATAAAAAGAACGGAACCGATGGCGGATGAACTACTACTGCGGGTGGAGTGAAGGCTGTGTGGATGAGTTGGCGACCGAGAAATAACTTCCTAGTAGCATGAGCTATTGAGTCGCTAGCCGAGTAAGAGAGAAAAAAAAAGTCATCTACCTGCGGAGTGGCTAGAGCGGCTGTGACGATCTGGCTAACTGAAAGAGATAGTTTCATACAGCTGCCGCCCTGGTATTGTGTGTTGGTCACTGTATGTAAGATTTGGCAAGGACCTTGTGTGAAGGAATAGGATGGTCAGGATGTGTGGATGGATGATGATGGATCGAGGTGCGTTATGAGTAGTGTGTGTGAGGGTGAAGAGGTGTTCCCACCAAATTTGAAAAGAAAAGAAGGAGGGAAAAAAACCAAATCTGAGTTAATGAACGATAATATTAGTGGAAGGAAGGGTAATGATGATGATGGTTGTGATAATGTTAATGATAGTAATAATAATAATAAGACCCTTCGCACGGTCGCAAACTCGGGTTATTTCTTAGTAGTAATGCGACGAATATGCGCCAGATGAGAAAATAGGTGAGGTAGAGGCGCTGGTGTTGTGTCGTACGGAGATATTATTGAAGGCTCCAAATCTGATGTTCGAATTAGGAACAATTTAATAATAACCTTTTGGAAGCTTGGGGGTAATTGACTTTTTTCTTCGTAGAAGGCGGATTTATTTGTTCCAATCAGGTCAGACTTTAGGCTTGTACCTCGCGCCTAATGGGCAATGGCGGAATCCCGTCAGGATGGTTAGGCCTAACAGGTCGCAGAACGGGCCGCAGAAGGAAAGCCCCAATCTGATTCGGTCGAATGACTGCAGGTGCCCTCCAATGTTTCTTCAATGCTCTAGGGCTCTTTCCAATATATGTGTGTGTGCGTGTATGTGTGGGTGTGTATGTGCGCGCGTTTGGTGCGTGATGCCTGCCTTCTTAAAGTTGCAAATACTTTTTAGGCTTAGAGAAGAAACATTTATAAACTCTTACTACCTTTTTTTATTTTTCTCTTTTCTTCGATTGGCAATTCTTAGACTTTAGAAAGGCCCACCTATAATTCGCACAGATGGCTACTTACACATATAAGTATGGATATGCATATATGCGTCGAGGCAAAATGTAGGCGATATGCTTATTGTAAAGAATATGAGTGTAGGTATGCAAATACGAAATAGATGTGTATAATGCAGGTATAAGTATAAGTATAGGGAGATTATATGACTTACCCGGGCACAATGACGATTTGCGAAAACGCTATGCGCTGAGATGTCCGGTAGAATGGTAAAGCGACCATAGAATGTGGCAGCGTCGTAGTGGATGTGCGCAGGTATGTATGTGAATGCGTGTGTGTGTGCGCGTATGCGTGTGTATGCGTGTGTATGCGTGTGTATGCGTGTGTGTGCGTGTCTCGTATGCGCTATGTATATGTGCCTAGGTGTTAAGTGAGAACGAGCGAGTTATGGCGATGACTTCTGCAATCTGGGAATATCCTAGTGACCGGACGCCACAGGTGGATTCTCTCAGGCGTCTCTACTCTTTCCTCTCCGTCTTTATTTTTGTATTTCGGGTTCGTAAAAGGTTTTGCTGTGCCGCCCCTCGTGGCAACAATGCGGCGTATGTATGTAGAAGGCGGCTTTCTAGCCGAACCGATCCTTTCGCTCGGTCCGTTTGCCGGTGACGTACAAAACCGAGTAGGGAGGGTGAGGTAATTTATAGGGTTCTAACTTCTAAATGCGCCTAGACCTGCGAACGGTCTTGTGAATCCAAGATCTTTAGATCGTTTATTACTCTTTAACTCAAATATCCTTCTCCTTCACCAATTCGAGCCTGCAAGTACGAGCACTTGCCGGATAGTCTGGAGGTCGAGATGTATCCGAGGACTCCTAGCTTTGACGTGGCAGGCTTCCTGATCCCTCAAACGACAAATGCGACTGTGGCTTGTCCCAGAGGCGTGGTACACTTCGGGTAGGCTTGCTGGTTAGCTTGCTCGGCTTGCCGGCTCGGGCTGGCTGCGCATGCACCATACACAGAGGGTCCGGTCGAGGATGCCGAGAGGGTTCAATATTGCATGTGGTTTTGTAAATGCGATACAATGAGGCAATCGTTGGATCGAGTATTCAACGGGCAAACTCACTGCCTGCCTAGTAGATAAGGTTGAAGGAAGTGTTGGCCGAAATGCGAGTCAGCAATATGTTATTACTTATGTTGGTGGGGCGGTCAGCTTTATTTCTTTTCTGTTCTTTTTTCCTTCTCGTCCTCCTTCCTTTTCTTTTTTTTTCTTGTTTTTCCCTCTCTCTTTTCTGACCCCCTCCCCTTCGAGTTTGTGCTTCAGGTTGCTTGCTGGATGCCAATCAAGCCAACGGGACCTTCGGTTTGGACCCAACTGACGAGGTCCAGAGTACGTAGTACAACACCACAGGTATGGGATGAGTGGTGTACGCGTGGATGCTTTTTTTTTTGCTCCCTCTATCTTGTATTGTACCTATACAAAATACCGCCAGGATCCTTTGCTTCCGTATTAACCCTCGGGCATGGGGGTCACGTTGGATGGATGGATTGTACAAGCTGGGGCTAATAAGGCACCTGATGCACGCAACGCAAGCGTGCAAGGTCCTTCCGGCTCAGATGACGGGGTACCCGTCAGCTAATCACGATGCCGATGGCTTGACCCAAGGCTCTGGGCACTCAGCTTTTATTTCCCCTCCTTGTCTAGACAAGGGTTGCCCTTTAGCGTGCGCCAGTTTGTTCTCACACCGCCGCTTTTCCCTCGATGGACACCCGGCGAGGGGAGACTCATGTATAACCTGCTATGCTATTAACCTGTTCAGCCGGCCTTAGGACGCTGTTGGTAACCTAATGCGTGCAAGCATGAGATTTTCTAGGTGCCAGCCGTTCGCACTAAGCCTTCCCTGAACGGGAATGCGGTAACGGAATACAAGGCGGACGGATAGATCCCAACGTAGTGGCTCGACGGGGTGGCCCGAAACTCTGATCAACGGCCTGCACTGCACAATGCTTTCCACTGGAGGACGCCAAATGAACAAATGCCGTCGAACCACCACCAGACCTCGGCTTGCTATAATAAGGAAATGATGTAGAATGGTCGAGGGTGTTATGAAACTGCGCCTTTTAGTCCCGGCAACCCTCTATCACGATTTAATAATAATATAAGCCGTTGTAGAAAAAGTAGCTGTACTTGCAAGTCGCGACACGGAGAGATCCAGCAAGGAATTCCACCCCCATAACCCTGGCTGGGGTGCCGTAACCAGGCCAAATCAAGCGGTCCCCTTGACGTTTGCGGGATGCGCTACGCAGCAATTGTTGCCTATTAGGTATAATAGACGAACCAGCCCTTATTAGACGTAGTGATGGAGTATTCAGGTGTGTGATTGATTGCCCTTATTATTCGGTT